GAGGTGTTTCACCCACCACGTACGTCCAGCGCGCGCCTCAGGTGTCCCACTGGCCCAGCTTGAGGCTGCACAGCTGCAGAAAGGGAAAATAGACAATACTCGCTCGGGTGCAGCAGTGCAGTGTAAACATCCCTCAAGTTTACCACGAACCCTTGGCCGGGCCGGGGAACTTCTACAGTACCCGGCGATTTGCACAGGAAAGCGATTTGGGCATGGTGGTCCCACTTCACTAAGAAAGAAAACCCGAAGGAGTTCACTGACCAAACCTGGTGGCACCTCACTCATGGGAAAGTGCACCCTGGGGTGTTCTGTACAAAAGGCTGTTGAGGTTTTCAGCAATAATGGGCAATCTTTACAGCACACAGTTGGAAAGTGTGACTTTCAAAAAAGGCTTGAGAATGTCAGAGAATGTTACGAATATTGAATCAACTGCTGCGTCGAATCTATATACTCTAGACTTGGCATGTATGATCGTATATGTATATCCTCGACCGTGACAGTTGACACCGATTAAGTGGTTCACACAATACTTCACTGATCTGCCACCCTCTCCATACGAGCATTGGATCTGGGAGTGCTCTGTTTTATTAGTATTGGTGTTGTGTGCAAGCAAAAAATACATTTAAACATATTACGTTACTTCGAGTGATCCCCACCATGACATTTCAATCATTTGTCTTGATGCGATAGTGAGGAACATGTTGCCATGGTCGTGAGTATTGTAGTTCTCGATTTTGCTTGTGGGTCCTCGGGTTGTGTGCTGTGGTTGTATGTTGTGGTTGTGGTTGTGTGCTGTGTTGTGGTTGTGGTTGTGGTTGTGATTGTGTGTTTGTGGCTGTGTGTTTGTGATTGTATGTTTGTGGCTGTGTTTGCGGTTGTGTTTGTGGCTGTGTGTTTGTGATTGTGTTTGTAGTTGTGTTTGTGGCTGTGTGTTTGTGATTGTGTTTGTGGTACTGGTAGTGGTTGTGATTGTGTGTTTGTAGTTGTGGTTGTGTGTTTGTGGTTGCGTGTTTGTGGTTGTGTTTGTGGTTGTGTGTTTGTGGTTGTGTGTTTGTTGTTGTGTTTGTTGTTATGTTTGTGGTTGTGTTTGTGGGTGTGTGTTTGTGGTTGTGTGTTTGTTGTTATGTTTGTGGTTGTGTTTGTGGTTGTGTGTTTGTTGTTGTGTTTGTGGTTGTGTGTTTGTTGTCGTGTTTGTTGTTCTGTTTGTAATTGTGTGTTGAGGTCTGGCGGGGAACACTGGGCGCGGATGGTCGTGGTCGAGGTCCGGCGGGGAACACTGGGCGCATGGTTGTGGTTAAGGTCCGGCGGAGGACGAGGAGGAGAAGAAGGAGGTGGAGGAGGAGGAGATGGGCGCTGACATAAAATCTAACAACCCTCACCTGACAGGTGGGGAAAAAAACACTCCAAGCTCCTGGTCTTCATCTGCTTTGTCCTACGCTGCCTATGGAGTATTTGATGGCTGGCCATTGTATCCTTTTGCTCCTGCTTGCTGAATCTCCAGCTGCATAACATTGCACACTGTAGCTGGCCCTAAGACTTTTGGTATGGGTGATTCAGATATTACATAGAGAATAGAATTATACATATTTTTGAAAGTGAAACATGCACCCCAGAAATTATGGCCACAGAATTTATACGGCAAAAACCTCCTGAAAAGGCCATGGAACTTCCATCGCACCCACCCCAAAGAACTTTCAAACGGAGGTGTGCAGTTGGATGCAGCCAGTCATGTGGTAATTGCTCCAAAGACACTCAGCGTCTGAACTTTTTGAGCGCATCGCAGCGTTGATGCTCTGGCCTCATGGCTATGGCGAAAGCACATATTGGATGATATGTTCCCAAAAGGGAAGGCTAACATAAAGGTCCCATGCTTGCCAACATGTGGTGTCTTCTTCGGGGTTGACATTGCTGGGTCTAACTCTCTCCCTCTCTCTCGCTCTCACTATCCATCGGTGGCTGGCTGTCAGATGTCCTATCTGCCCAGATACTATTTGAGGTACAAGCTTACCATGATGAGAAGACTGAGCGCCCTTTGTCCACCATCAATTTGGTTCAACTGATGGCCCTTTCATTGCACATTCTCATACATAACTCCCATCTCGATAACCCTGATCGTGGCGGTCCTGCTCATCAGCAGGTCCTCCGTCTCTTGCAATTCGACGAACGAGTACCTGCGGTGTAACTTTGCATGCCAGCCTGACAGCTAGTTGAAAAAACAATTGGATATAAAATGATATAAAGACCTCTTCACCATCTCCAGGGTATGCTCCTCCAGGGTATGTTGAAGAACCGGGAAAAGACGGGGCTTGACCTTCTCAATGTTCATGGCGATCACCGGTCAGACCTGGGCCACCATTTATATAATTCCAATCTTCAAGGGTGACTCATAAGCACCTGTTCCCCATTCTCCTATTGGCAAAGCTATTGAATTATTGAGTCTAGAATCCAGGAAACAAACGCTGGCATCAGGTTAGTACATGCTGCACTCGTTCTCTCCATGTCCTTTTCCTTTCCCAAAAAAAAACATGACTTAGCTCGCAGCCTACCTCTTCGTCCAGCAGAAAATCTCTCGAACATGAAAGCCACAAGCTACAAGTAAGTTGGAACCCAAACTCCAAAACCAGTTTTCTGAGGCTGAGGAAAAAGTTGAATTCTATATGGCTGAACTCCAAATCTGCAAGATAAGCTTGTACGATTTCATCATACTCTATTGGTTATCGGCGTTCTTGGTTCGTGCATCAAATCTGAGACCACTGTGCATCAAAAAAGCGGCCGCCGTCATTTTCCACCGCCCTCCGCGGTCTGTCTGGGCCGCACTCGCCCGAACTCTCGTGGACCCAAAAACATCTGCATGGTTCCTTATATGTATCTGGAGGACCTCAGAACATCTCGGATTCACCGACGTGAGCTCTACGACTCTACTTTCATCTACTTTCTACTCATGGCGACGGTCCAGCATGAGAGGCTTCTTTGGCGACAGGCTGAAGTTGTGTCTTTCGACATCCACGGGCCTTTGCTGCCTCGACGAGGCCCCGGAGCGACCATCGAAATGAGACCAAGCGGATTGTTCGTGTGACCAAGCGCAGCCGGAGGGGGTGTACCAGGATCTTTGGAAGATTACCCTGTCCTTTGCAAATCTTGTTAAGCATTTGCATATCAAACACCTTTTATTTTGTCGTCACGCTTGGCCAAATGTAGGATACTCTCATGGTGTTCTTCTGGAAATTGAGACTGGGGGGGTGAACAACACATTCTTGGCTACGGATGTCGTATCACAAGCAGTGATGAGGAGTGATGAGACAAGATGAGACATAGTTTATGGCCGGTCATGGATGTAGCTATGACATAGCGGCCATGATGCGCTCAAGTCAGTTGAGCTGGCATCAAAGCTGACATCAAAGCTTCGCTAGGCTTGCTTTGATGCACGACAATGAGTGCCGTGCTCGGAAGGGGAAATGATTGAGACAACCATGGAATGAAGCACCTTCACCATGTGCTTTTCCCGTGAATAAGCATTGTCCCGGCTTCTATAACTGCTAATCCCTTACAAGTACCCCATAAGTCTTCCACCTGCTTCCTATTCAAATGAAATTCACCGCAAACTATATATATAAGTACACGCTTACATGAGTTGCCACAAACTGTTCAAGATTGCTGGACCCGACGCTAGCACAAAAAAGCTAGGACAAATCTACCCCCAAAAAAAAGAAAAACTTACACACATTGAAAAAAACAAAAGAGCACAGACTCAGAACTCCTAATCGCAAGACAAACTTTAGCAGATCTATTTTGGGAAGTTCTATCGCACCTTATGGCACTGGTCGCTGAGAGTTTCCAGTGGCGTCGCTCCGAAACCCGGTCACTTCTTCGGTCGAATTCCGTGTGGAAGAAGGGCGCGGCCGCGGGTAGACCAAGCGGTCCTGGTGCACGTCACTGGGATGGTATCCTCTGCCAGAGGTGGAATTGTTCAAATCAAAGCATTAGAACACAATGAGTTCTCCGTAGCTATATGCATCATTGATGGGAGTTTGATGCGGAGCCCACTGCGGTGCCCATTCCATAATCCTGGTGAAAGGCTAGCTGATGGCTTCTTGCTTTGAGGTTCCCATCCTCGGCCCAGGACCGTCAAGCTTCCGCCGACTCCACTCAACTCACACTGCTAGGGAGAAAGCTCAGGACGTGCAGTTTGCGAAGGGAATCATGTCACAGCTGAATGCAGTTGGAGGTGTTTGTCATTCCAAACTTACTCCTCCCCACTCAGCTCTGAGGGCCAAGACCAATCAATCACGTCCCCCCCTCGTCTCCGAATGGACATTTTGCTGAGCCCCGAGCCTCCTCCAAGTCAAGAGATGCAAAACCAGGTCAGGGTTCTGACTACACCTGACCCATCAAAAAATACGAAAAGAATCGCCCCATTCGGGGGTTCACGACGTGAAATCCGAGAGTTCCAGCAACTGGGATGAGTGTCATGTCAACCACTTAGTGACCAACAAAAGCCTTAGCCTATACCTATTAAGGCCTAGTGCCAAGTATGAAACACGACCAAGACCACTGCACTGATCCAAAGTGAATGCTTCAGGCATAACAAGAACGGCATGTTGTATTGAGTGAACGGATGGATGCAACCGCGAAAAGAAGGTTGCAAAACTGTCGGGACCCGTGCAAATGGATATGTGTACAGCAATATATAATTAGCGCCTTCATATGGGAGATTCACGGGCTCAATGTACGAATATATGCACCAGTGCATAGCCAAGGCAACAACTCTTGTAAACCTCAGCGCCCCTCCCCTCGCGAAGGGGTCATGGACCTGTTTGACAAACAGAAAGGCAATCAAACAGTGCTAGTGTGACTGGATGATGAACTCAATGCAAATCCGAGGAAATTCACCCCAGAAGCGAAGTGCCACATTCTGTTCCCGTGTGCTCGCAGCCCGTGAGCAGGGGACGAGGATTGCCCGAAGTTCTTTGAGACCTTGGGACTGGATGTCACTCGCACTCGCCCATAACCTTCTTGACAAACCTCCTCCATTACCTGCTCGGCTGACATGCCGCGTAGCAGTTTGTCAATTACCTGCTCGGCTGACATGCCGCGTAGCAGTTTGTCACAAATCGAAAGAATGCAGCTCACACTTGCAGATTCTCCGCTATTTGTTGCTGCTCGGGCGCCTGCAGTATTCAAGTGAGGCGGCGGTTGGTCTTTGGGTCGTCGACCACCACAACTTTTCTGGGTTTCTGGTCTCAGAAGGGTTTGATAGAGCCCGCCGAGTCCTGCCCCCGACTAGATTTATACAGCCCATTACGGCCCCAGTTTTTTGATCCAATCCTGGTTGAAGATCTTGAAGCCACCCCAAGTCCTTTTCTCAGCCAGCGAAGTCAATCGCAAAGGCCCCTTGCAACACACACTGGGCGGGCCCTCTGAAAGTGCTTCCTTCGACTTGTGGTTCACCCACTGCTGCAGTGGGGCACCAAAATTTGGAGCAGTTGCTGAACATTTTCCAGCCCCTTCCACCCCAAAAGTGTTTTTGAACTGACGAGATCTGTGGAAGATGGCATACGTGAGACGGCTTTCCTGCCTCAACCCAATTTCGCATGGTTCAAGAAAAAAAAGGGAACACATGGTAAAGCACCAATAGGGCCCTAATGGCATGTTTGAACCCTTTTGAACCTGATGCTCCTTCGAGTCACACACATGGTACCCACCTCTCGATGGTAAGAATGCCACTTCCACTCAACATTGTAGCCCATCCGTACTTCCAATTCGAATGCCTGTGATTTCTTCCAGCCACCCCTTGGCCTAACCAGCCACCCCTTGGCCTAACCACAAGGAGGTGCATCTTCCACTTCAATGACATGGGGCTTCTGCGGAAGCTTCCTCGATGGCGGACGGGAAGAACGGTTCCGGCTTCTGTGCTCTCGACGCCGGCGCCAGAGCAAGGGAAGGAGTTTGTTCGGCAGCAAGGCACTCACAATCTTTGAACAAGGGTTCTCTACCGAACACCCACTACGAAAGGTTCGCTGTGAACCAATAGCCTCGCTCGGATTCTCCGGCTTGGCCGTCGATGCCTGGGCCAAACCTAAGCCTTCCACATTTTGATGAAACATATTTAAAAAACAATCATATATAAAGGATTATAAAGGTGCTAATCTGTTGGAGGGCCTAGATTGGTATCAGCAAAATTCTGGGTCTATCCACCACAACCACTATGCATTGGGCTTGCCCTCCCTGAACACTTCCAACCGAGCCATAACATCTGATGGCACCAATATATTCTGACTATATATATATATATATACAGTAAAGTAAAGCCTGTCTATTCCCTAGCCTTCAATAGCCTTCAACCATTTAAAGAAAGGTTAACCTGGTGTTGTGGTCCAAAATCCCAGGTTGGTAAAGACTGTTAAATTCCGTATGTAAGTTACGATGTCGAATTACCAGGGCATTGTTTGCAGCGGGTCGTTTCTACTGCTAAATACTGCAACTGTAAGACGTCTCCATCTCACCGTGTAAGTTTCAACAGTTCATGCAACTCCAACACCCCAACTCCCCAGCACTCCTCAAACAAATACCTCTAAACTCCCTACCAACATCTACCAACTACCCCAGTTCCATTTGAACCAAGGCACAGCGGACTTTGAAAAGGCATCGCCACACCCGACGCTGCGACCTTCTGCAACGGCCCGTCGCCATGGAGCGGCGGCAGCGGCGGCCCACGGCCCACGGCGCTGGGCGACTCCGGGCGGCTCGGCGGCCGCGCATCGTCGTTCAGCCTGGCAGGGAGTTCAGGTTGTTTTGGGGAGGAAGGGTGAAGGGAGGGGAGTGAGTTGAGAAGTCCAGAACCCATCAAGCATGATCAACCATTCTCCAAGGAAATTAGACCCTACCAAGTAAGTCGGCCCTACAATACCTTCATTGAAAACAGTTGGATTGAGAGCCTTGGTAACAATGACATGATAGTTCTTGGAAGGATCTCTCCAGCTTCGCTCTTTCAGCCCCGCTTCGCTTATCGCTTTTTTCGGCTCGGCCCAGGCGGCCCTGGCCTGGGGCTCTTTTTTGGCTTCATGGCTTTCGGCGATTGTCTCTGAACACTGTTGTTGGACCTTTGTGGAGAACGGTCGCAGTCACAGTCGCAGTCACAGCTCATGGTGCTGGCAGGCGAGAACAGCAGTGATGACGCAAAGGATGGCAGTGCTGGCAGGATGGCAGCGAAGAGCAACAAAAGCAAACCGCCCTGAATGCAACACACAAACACAAGAAATCCAAGAAATTGGTTCTGTGAATCGTAGTCAACATATGGTTGAATAATTCATTTGTGCCAACCAACACAAACACTTGTCTGTCTGAGTCCAGTCCGTAGTCCCAAGATTCAAAACGAGTGAAGGAGGTATGTGGCTCTGGACCCAAAACCATTCGCATGGACTACTGCGAATGCCCCATGGTTTCAGAGTCCAGGTTTTGACACACGGCCCATACACCTGGTTTCCTTCAGTTCAACCAGCAATGGCTTGGGGCCGAACAACTTGTCGCTAGGATGTCGTTCGTTTTGACGTCGGCCACTCAAACCCTTACCCCTCAGAGCCTCTGGCGTCGGCTTCTTTTGTCCATACGTCACCCACACGAAAAAGATCCCCCCAGTCGCGTCTGAAGTAGAGCTAGCGACACCAGGCACTCATAGAGTATAGCCACATGAGTGCCTCTAGTATCCTCTAGTCACCAGCTTGTTCCAGTGAACCCACTGATTCCCCGGGACGACTCCAAAATCGTCACCAGCTTGTTGGTTCCGACTCCAAGTGACATGCGGAAAGGGAATCTCTCTCGTTGCCTTGGCACGTGGGTGTCCGGGGCGAAAACTGTTGTATAACCCCATGGGAATAACCAGCCAGCGTCCTCATACAACAGTTATACAGTCTTAGTACTAAGGGAAAGTGAAGTGCAACACTTCATCACCAGCAGCTAGGCAGTAGAAAAGGAAAACAACGGAGCAGGACTACCAGTACCTGATTCGAATGAAGGCACCGCATCCACCCGTAAGGACAACCAATTGGACGGCATCCATTTGCTGCTTGGAAGGAAGGAAGTGATGGCGTGCAAATGTGTTGATGCCATCTTCCGCCAATGATGGGCATGACTTCTGAGAATCTGGGTTTTCTTGTAGTGGCTCACTTCTACTGAGATTATCCGCTGGTATACGTCGAAAATAGCCCACAACCTGCATGCTTGATTCATCTTCTTGAAGGGAAACAAAGCTTCTCCAACAATGGGGTGTAGAGTATCAACATTGCGGCGTCTCAAATTTATGTTAAGGATGCGAACTCCCCGAGTTTGTGACGACCATCCAGGAGCTAGCAACTACACGCGCTAGGAACTAACATCTTCGGCTCCCATGCTCTGGTGACGTCTGAAGTCTGACGCTTGACTGCCACATGAGCTACACCCTGGACCCTGAAAACCACTTGGTTGGTAGAGGAAAACACTCTTCCAGGGGGCCAGCCAGTCAGGGTCTATGTTAGTTTCGGGAGTGTACCCAAAACACCCCCACAATACGTGGCATCAGAGCGGGACGTCCATCCCCAGGCTCCCTCCCTTCACGACCGCAGGTTCTGATGGTGGGCCTGGCATGGCTCAGCAAACGGTATAAAAGAAGGGCTCCAAATGGTGTAATTATGTGTGTTCCACCTGCCAAAACTGATGTTTTGCCTGGTGAGCCGGTGGCTTTTGACGGCCCAGACCCGTCCGGCAAGCAAAAGAGAACGCACTTCTAGCAGATCGTGCCCAGTGGCGCTAGCTGCGTCATCTGAGCTCTGATCTGTTCTAAGTCCTCTGCGACCTTCTCCTGCCGCACGCTTTTAAAGGAAGGTCACAGCATCATGACATGGAGGAATCTCCGCATGGACATTTACATCATTTACATACATACAGGGGTCCAATTTCAATGAGTCAATCAGTCAAACTTGAGCACCAGCCCCAAGAGTCCTCTGCAAAAGTGCATTTGGGATGACCAATGCAGCCATGAGTTTCAAAACACATGTTGCTGGCCATGGGTCATGGCAACCCAGTCCACCTGCTGAACACCACAGGAGCCGGTAAAAGAAGATGCACCCCTGAGAAATGTGTCTAAGAATGGACTGACAAGCCAGCAAGGGTTGGCAATAAGGAAGCACCTTTTCAACGCAAAAACATCCGATAATCCCTTTGGGAGCGTCCAATGTTGAACAAACTGTCCATCGACCCCGCACGTCCTTCCCAAAGAGCGGCTCTGTGGTCAACACTTGTCGACTCATGTCAAACAATTTCCTATTGGACGAACTGATTTCCCTGATGAGAGCGTCTAAGTAAGACGCCATGCCCTGCCATCCCTCGCTTAAAAACGCCCTGCCCTGATAGGCGGCGGCGAGGTTCTCCTCGAACTCCTGCACCTGGTTCTGCACGGCGCGCGTGGCGAGGAGAGAGGCCACTGCGTCGCTCTTGTTGATCTCACCGCGAATCTTCAGCAAACCGTGGAGGAGTTCCTGGACGCACGGAGCTGACCGGTGAAGGTTGCAGTGAGCATGCGAAAAGAACCGGGGAACAGCATGGATAGTCAAATATGCGGAGATGCGTAATAGTTAATCACGATTGTTTCCTTTGCTTTATGGAGATCTTTGCAGCAACCAATGTCTTAACAATGAGTTCAGTTGTGTAAGCCATTATAAACCTAAAGATCGAATTGCATCAATCAATGTGGGGTTGATGTCAACTGGCCAGGGCTGTATTGAAGAGCCCTGGCACGAGCCCTTGTCGCAACACGTAAGACATCATCCCGAATATATGATGATTACGAGCTTCCATGTTTAAAGTTTATTTATCTGCTACAATCGTTCGTAGCTATATGTACTGCTCACATAAGCTCACATGATCTCACAGGCATTCAATGTTACATAGATCCACATAGAAACAAGAACTGCGAACCCCATCGAAACCTCCGTCCGTGTTATCAATGCCGACTTCTGACTACCAACAAAACGTGGAGAACCCCCCCCCGTGTGCGTGGCCAGTGTGTCTTCCTTACCTTCCAGTGGGGGAATTGGTTCAATTGCATCAGATTTAACATCGCCAGACCCAGGCTAACTCTGAATCTTGAAAATATAAACAATGCAAAAACAAAGCAGAAACAGCAACTACAAAAAGCAAAAGCAAAACAAAAAGCAAATCCAAAAAAGCAAAAACAAACAAATGAAAAAGCAAAAGCAAAAATAGACAAATCCAAAAAGCAAAAGCAATGTTCCGCCTTTTTCTTCGCTTTTGTTTTCGTTTTTTTGCTTGCCCGCATTTTTCCGATTGGGTGTTTTTCTCGTAAGTTATATTGCTTTTATTGTATTTTTTATCGTGTGTTGTTTATTTTGTTGTTTTTTGTTTTTGTTTTGTTTCGTTTTGCTTTTTCTTTTTGTTACCGCTTTTTTGTTCGTTTTTCGTTTTTTGTTCTTCCGCTTTTTGCTTTTTAATTGTTGTTGTTTTTGTTTTCTGGTTTTATTGTTTTGTTTTTTGCTTCTAATTTGCTGTTTTTGGCTTTTTGGATTCGTTTTATTTTGCTTTTGCTTTTTGTGGTTGCTTTTTTGTTCCGTGTGTTTTTGCTTTTTAATTTGTCTAAACCATCAGATCGCCGAAGTGGTTCACATAACATCAGATGGCTCCCAAGTTCCCAGCCGGCATCTAAGTGGTCCGTTTCTGGCAAACAAAGCGGGGCAGCGTCTCTCTGAGTCATCGCCGGGAATGACTCACAAATGAGTTGTGCCGGCTGCCAGCTCAAACCAATTATTCCTCGAGCCAAGACTCAGTGATCTGCAAAGTTCCTGAACCTTGGCTCATCAAAGGCTGCACGATCTGGCAAAAGCTTACGTATCTGACCATACTTCGAAACAGTCGAAGCCATGAAATTGGGGTTCTTGAGATCGCCAATGCCTTCGGATGACAGCAATTCAACCTGGTGCGACGGATTCACAATCAGTCAAAATGAAACCTTGTTCACACCATACCTGACATCACCAACACTCAACATCTATCAAATAACAAGAAAATCCATAGAAATCCATAATCAAGCATACAAATTAAGGATAATGTCTGATTTATGCCAACAAGCCATCCGCATCGATAATTTCGAAGAGGTTGGCACGGTCCGGTGGCAAATCCAATTCATCCATCAATGCCTGGCGCGAATACAATAGACTGGCGGAGAAATGGCGCCTCCAAGTGTGCCTCCAAGTGTCCAAAATGCTGGCTGATCAACTACAAAGGCCACGCCCAAGCCTGCGTGTAGCCTATGCCATGCAAAAAGGTGTCTATGCAATGATATGTGAAGCCAACACGGTGTCGCGTATGCGAGCAAATGGCAAACAGCAAAGACTTGCTCTTGTTTCTACTCAAATCCAACTAACCCTATGCAAACAACTTGCATAAGTGCCTCCACCGACAGCCTACGCCAGTCTGCGCCAACCCACCAGTATCAAGAAAATAGCCTACGCAGCATTTAAGTTCCCTCTTCATCTTCTGTTCATTATCTCGGCACCCAAAACCGTCTGTATACTCAAAGGAAAGGAATGGGGAGCCCAAGGGGCAAAAGCACATCTTCCAAAAAACAACTGAACACAGTATACTTTATATACATACTGTACTACCAATGGTGTGCCACAGTGATTCTGTCTACTGCATGGGTCACGTCATGGCCTGCACGGATGGGTCCTGCACAACCAGGAGGAAGAGCTCCTGGCCCAACAACGAACCACAACGGCTCTGACAGTCGCCACGGGACTACTCGTACGGCGTACAAGTAGTCGTTCTACCATAAAATGGGCCTGGCCGTGTCAGTTGATGGACCTGGCTCCAGCAAAAGAAGCAGCAATTCCAGCCACGTGGTCCAAAACTGTCTCGCTATGCGGACCCTCGTCTTTCGGCCAATCCATCATCAGCCCCCAAACGCTCCATGCATGTCATATTCACATACATTGGGGTAGTTTCAGGGGTCAATGTAGGCATAGATAATAGTTATTCACACATATATATATATATACGTATACCATAATTACTATACAGTATATACATTACTTATACCATAGTTACATTGAGTCTTGGAGCCCAATTGCTCTGGGGGAAGAGAGTGAAGCACGAGACGACCTCGATCAGCATCCACACCTTGGTGATGGCGATCTTGTCGTGGCCCCCATCTTCTGCGAACCTGAGAAGGGAGTCTCAGTGGCGAGTCGTCTCCATGAAGCGGAAGTAGATCAATTGCCCCTGGTGATCTGGTGCTGGTAATGTGATGTTTGGTTTAACCATGCGGCCGCATGCCTGCAAGCAATTATGTAGCATCACTGAGTCATGTCACTGACGCCTAATGATGGTAGGGCAAGGTCCATGCTGAAAGAACACGTTCTGGTGAAAGCAGGACAAAGCATGCTGAGGCATACAAAAGCAGATTGACTGGTGACCCAGCAGGAGATTTGGGGCAAAAAAGGGTGACAAGTTGCCAGAACCTCAACGAATTCGGATGCTCACAAGTGGTCCAGATTCTGGCTGCACTATTTAGTCAAAAGCGTCCAATAAATAATATATATATATATATATATCTATGTGTGTGTTCTTTATAATGCTACATCATATAGAGTGGACATGAAATAAGTTCAAAATATCACAACACAACTGTCTGCTTCGGGGCGTAACTGTCGCATAGAGGTCATCTATCTACAGTATCTACTCCGGGCTGAAAATAGATGGTAAAATTTCAAATGCGCCATCTACGAGCGCCAAAGTACCACAGTAGAGTTGCGCCATCAGTAGGCATCCCGACAGTATCAAAAGGACGAGATTTACAGTAAGCTAAACACCCTCGTACTCGGAGACCCCTGACGGCGCGCTCCATCTATATACTCCAGTTAGAAAGCAGAACTAGTACAGTAGCTGAATCTCTTTTGTGCAGAGAGAGAGAGAAAGGAACAGTAGGAGACAGAGTAAAAGACAAAGTAGGATGGGCACCGATGGGTTTGAGTTGGGTTTGGACTGCTTTGAATGGGTTTGCACTGATGTGCATTGTGCCTTTGCAAGCTCATTTTTTCTTGTGTACCCCCCCTCTCCCTGTGAATGCGCCATCTACAGGTGCCATATAGCGAGGAAACATACATTGATGGCACATCCGGGAACCCTCCCGGGAACCCTATGTTGCGCGTTGCGCCAGAAACTTTCAGGGCGGTGTATACCCACACCTATACCTACCTACCTATCACACAAACACTTCCATTTGGGCAACCTTCATGTTGATTCATGCTGGTTCAAACTATAGAGGGTCCACCAAGACACGGACGAGGCATCTGAGGTGAACTGCAAAGAAACACATCGCTCTCCTCACCTACTATGTCTCTTCACCAGCATGCCGAGAGTAGCCAAAGAGGATCAAAGAGGTGTCCACGTGATCCAAGTCGCACATTGGTTGTCTTCATCTTGGCCAGCTTGGCTTTGGTTGAATCTTCCCAATCTTCCTCCTCCCTTTCCTGCGCTTCAAATGTCAAAGGCCAGGTCCATCAGCCACCCTTTGTGCCAGATTTTGCCAGTGGTTGGGAACTGCTGGGGTACTCCACCTGTCGAAGTTGAAGTGTCTAATAATATCTTGGGAAGGTGAAGGACCTCTGGCTGGATATCTTTTCGTCGGGGTCGCTGGTTCTCAACTAGATACAAGTACAGCAAGGCAGCCCACAAGCTGTTGAACCATGTTGAACCGTCTCTTCTGAATGAACCCCGTAATTCCAACCCCTGAGATCGCTTGGTGTGGAAGCAAAAAACTGCGAGACCACGCTAACGTCTCCAGCAACGGTCCTCTCCGTCATTGACATGGTACACATGATGTGCCAGGGAGAACTTCTTGAGCAACTCGCGGGTGGTTCGAGCAATCCTGGCGATTTGGCTGGCTTTAGGCATACAACACATTCAACGCGTTCCCCAAAGCCACCCAGGCACCACGTGGCACGAAGGCGGGCCATCTGGTTCTCATTCGCGGCCGTTTTGGGTGCGGTTGAGGGTCGCTCGAGACGGTCGCTCGAGACGGTCGTAAGAGTCGAGTCTGGGGTTCTTCAAGTAGAAGCCCATTGGCACATATAGATCATATGGTTGGGCACATGCACGTGTGTGTGAGTATCTGTCTATGCCTGGATGCCTGTCAGAAATCCAAAGCGCCAACTGTGCAAATTGAGAAACCAGAACTGGGATACTGGACCGAAGCACAATCGAAGCGTGTGTAAGAAATCTGTGTGGTGGGCTATACTATAAATGGCCACTACGACAGATCCCTGCTCACATTCTCAACGACACCACCCAGTCTCTCCAACCGTACCTCCATTTCATTGCCTCACCTCGGGCTAATGCAAACTCATCTAAGCGGCTGCCAGGAGCCGTATAGTCAGACTATCTTTGGTTGACCTATCACGGTCCTGATAGATTCTCTGGCATACTGCTCCGCCGTCACAGCGTCATTCCTCGCATCACAGCATGTGAGCCACTCATCTCAATATGATCATTATATATCATTATATATATATTGCATTGCGTGCTCTACTCTACTCGTATTGAGTATATTGGTCAGTTTGCACACGCAAAGCAACCGCAGTGCACCCGCTAACCAACAAGAACGTGATGCAGTGGTAACGGGCTCCATCATCGGAGCACCACAGCATTGATACCAACACCTTCTATCCTTGTATCGTCCTTGCTCCTAGTAGTGATGCCCTTTGCTCCTAGTAGCTTCTTGCTCCTAGTAGTAAGGCCAGGAGCCCCTAGAAGCGTCCTTGCCCCTAGTAGAAATGCCCTTTCTGATCTTGTATGATGCCCTCATAGCGGGGATATAGATCTGCTCTTCGGCCTTCCACGGGCTAGACCGACCGCAGCGCCGCGTCTCTGGCTCGCTGGACTGAACGCCACGTCAAATCCGCGCTCTGCTCCGGTGCGTGCTGCTGAGCTTCTCTTTGGCTGCTTTCATCGTGATGTCGACATAGACCTCAAGTCGATGGCCCGACTGAGTCGTGCAGAGTTTGGGGCCTGGCCGCCAGGGCCTAGGGACACTCAAAAGGTCTCTTGAGCGTTAGCCCGAAGGCCTGATATGTTCTGATCTTCTATCTACAAAATTCTACTACAAGTATCTATGTATATAACATTGTATGTTGTATTCTGTTATATTCTACTTCCAGGACTACTTCCATGTTCTTTTTGAATTTCAGCGGGCCAGCAGCTAGATTCGACCACTCAAGGTACCCACATGGCAAAAGAAATTCAACTTGACCACGCCCAGACACCGCGAGGATGACGTTGAAGATTCCTCAGCGAGTCTGGTGCTGGTGAGTTCTATTCTGTGTGTGGAAGGTTTGATGATACGGATGATAGGGATGGAACTCAGAGAGTGGGAAGTGCACAAAGGTGTTGAAGGCTTTGCAATAATCGACCATGAAGAAATGAGTAGCTCACACAGCAAAAAAACTGCCCTGGAGCCGTTCTTGAAATCTCGTCAAGCAGCCCATGGTCACCAACATGTAGCAGGCCACATAGCCTCACGCCCAGCCGGCTCATACATCTGTCACAGATTTTGCAGTGATATGGAAGGAAATCGCCTACTCATGGAAACTCTCCCATTCCCAAACATCTATCCATTCAATCAGTACCTGCGCACCAGGCGTTCCGATAGACTGCCGACGCACGAGTCAACAAATTATCTTGTGCCCATGTCTCGTGTGCGAACGATGTACAGTGGGCCCTGACCACTGATACCCTTGCCGTATCGCCCAAGCGCCGCATCAAACAAGTGGCCAATGATGAAAGGCAACTGGAAGGCTTCAGCCAACATCTCATGGATAGGTTGACCTTCCCGATTGACCTCATCGCAGCAAATTACGGGCACACCCTGAGGCCCCAGCTTCCAAAGGTGGGCATTGCAAGCTGTGGTGGGGAAGGGGCAGTTCCGCGCGTCAAAAATCCCGAGTACCCATTAAAAAAACACCCCTCTATTTAAAAACACCATGTCAGAACCCACTAAATATGGTTATTAATATGTGTTTTTAAACTAAAAAACCGCTACTTAACCTAAACTACCAACATGGTCGATTTTGGTGGAGTCTTTTTACGGGGTCCCACGAGCAACCCTAATTGCTCAACTCTGTCCACCTGTCTATCCACCATGACACGCCGCGTTTACACCTTCCCCAATTGCACGGACTCACCTTTCCAAAGCTTTAGCTGCGAATGTAGAATCATTATTTTAAATATCCCTGTGAAAATCACATGGAGGGGTCAGTCCTACCCATTCTTTAGTGGGGGAATGATGAAGGTCAGCTCCCTAGAAAATGCGGAACGCAGGTTCATGAACCCGTGATTGGCATAATCTAGTGACTCACTATAAAGTGACACCAAATTTCAATCATACCTCTTGGACCCGTGATTGGCGCGTCTTCTTTTTGAACCCGCGCTGGGCATTTTCTAGTGAATGCTCTGGTGCCTTGACGTGCGATTGTCATTCTTTAGCGGGTCCTGCTTTGATACTGCTTTCTTCTACATCATAAATGTTGTGAAGACGTCCAAAAGCAAACAAAGCATACAAAAGCTAAGTTGATTGAACAACAGCTACCAAACTCTGTGTATGGCAGTGTCTGAGGATTTGGGTGTACCAGGTGCTGGTCGAGACACCAAAGCCACTAGAAAATGAGGAACACACCCTAAAGACCTAGAACCCACCATTTTCTAGTGAATTGGTCTGGCTGGATACGCTACCTTTCCATTTCTGACCAGAGTGCCAGATATGGAATGGTATGGTATGCCAGTGTCTGAAGATTTGGGTGTACCAGGTGCTGGTCGAGACACCAAAGCCACTAGAAAATGAGGAGGCCCAATAGAAAATGAGATGATGTCTAGAGTCTAGAAAATGACCCTGCCAGCATGCCTATGAGACCTGTGATCCTCATTTTCTAGTGACCTACATGTCACTAGAAAATGCCATACCTGACCCCTTCCCGGTGAGTTTACCTCCTTGACACTAAACAATGCCCGTTTTCTATACACGTCAACCCCTCCCATTTTCTAGTCCGAATATCATGGGGGATGTTGTTCATAAAGGGTTTGTCAGCGGAAAAGGAAGATCCTTCGATCTGGAGGTGTTTTTTTGCTCAATTTTTGATACGAATTCAATAAAGAATTTTGTGTAACATGTTCCTGGGTGACTTTTTATGGTTCATCAATGATGCAAGGATCCTCCCACTGACCCTATTTTGGACAACCCGATTTCAGGGACCCCCGATTCAAAAAGAATGCATCCGAGTTTCTGTTAAAAGGGGGGGGCGTGTTATTTAATAGGTGGAGGATGGTGGAGGGAATTCATCCTGCACCCAACAGCCACAACAGCTAGAAACATCTCAAACACCTAACAGGCGGCAATTACCCAGTTCATCCAAAACATGGGCCGAAGCAATCAATACTCATGTTCTTTTTGCATCAACCTGGCGTGAAGTTGATCCCGTATCCCCTGCTTGATGCCACCTGCAAAACCCCACCCTGGCACAATACTTCAGGGTACACTGCCATGCCCTGCCCATGCCCCTCGCTTTGGCTCCAGCCAGGGCACGCATTCTCCGGTAAAGCACCGGAAGGCGGTGAACATGGAGGCTGGGATGTTCTTGAAGTATTTGTCTACATCCAAGGCTTCCTTGGATGCAACTCGAGAGCGGAAATCGGTCTTCTTCCGCTTGGTTTTCCATAAACTCACTGAAGCGCTCAGCTCTCCTTTGGTACAAGTACAAGCTGTCCCAGTTGGCAATGGGCAGGTCCGTTCAAAAGAAGGACAAATCATCTTGCTATGAAACAACCTGTGGAAGTTCTTTGCAAACTACCTCGAACCTGTGATCTGGGTGTTGCCATGAATGAAATTGCTTGACTCTCAAGAACGCACTCCTTCGGTTTTTGTAAAGCGATCCCAAGGGCAAATCAAGCACCCTGTTGCAGTATCAGTATATTATGATTTTCATGGATATGTGATATGTGTGCAACAGTGGTTGGAATTTGCCTTGACATCATTCAAACGATCCCACACTCATGCAAAGAGAATTCGGAATTCGTAGGACAATGTAGGACTGTCGAAGACTTCGAATGGACGCAAACTAGAGTCGGGTTTGTCGAGTCTAAGTGCCAAGTTGGAGTCGAGAACGAGTTGGAGTCCCCCAAAAAGAGAAATCTCCCAATGCAAAAAAACAATTTCAGCCTTCGAACTCATGTTCTCAACGAAGAACGGATCAGTTCCTGCCTGGTGGATCCAACCGGCGAACCGGTCTGACTGGAAAGGTCCGGTGGTCCGACAGGTGGCTCCGTTCGTAGCGATGCGTAAACCCCGTTCGTCGCGAACACTAGTGGTAAGGCCAGGAGCCCCGTTCGTAGCGTCCCGCTCCGTTCGTAGCGATCTCTCGAATGATCTCTCATCCCAAGTCGTTGTTTTTCCCAAAGCCTATCTCAATCTCTATGGATCTCTCATGATCATCGGTCCCGCTGTGTTTCCCAAGCAAAGCCTTTCGTCGCTTGACTCACCGGGCTTCAGCTTTGGGATTGTTTCCGATCCTGAGAGCGCAGTTCAAGCACCGGAAGCACGACAAGGTTGACCGGTTGGACGGACTGTGCTGTGCCCCATGGCACAGCAGAAAACCACGAAGGAAAACAGGAGTTCACCAACCAAACACCGGCAGGCCTTATTGAGATGTGAAGCGAGGTTTTGATGGTTTGGGCAGTCCCCATGGCCCACCCCATGCTCATGTGCCAATGTATAGAGCATTATATATATAATGCTATAAACCACTGGAAGTGTTTTGCCTGTCTTCGTTGGCTCTTTCCAGGTGTTGGTTGCTTCATCGCCAAGCATCGTCATGGTGGCGAAGCCGGAGATGACGTATAAAACGGTGAAAAGCAGAATGAAGGCTAAGCAAAGCGTGCGAATGCCTGCGATGAGTCCTTGAGTCAAAAACTGGGCGCGAAGAAGGAGGTTGGCTGGCGCGAAGAAGGCGTGCACCAACTCAGATTTCCAGGCAAAAACACTTGACTCTTTCCGGGGGCATGTTGTGTTGCACCAATGTCGGATCTATGAAGTCTTTTCCTCCGGTTTCTCCCGTGTCATTCATCGATCTACAGTATCAGTGTACAACACTGTTTGCTCAGACTAATAATATATGACAAAACGGGGGTAGATGGCATGGAAGTGTCCCTATACAATGAATGGAACAAGTCACATCCGAAATACGTGCAGTTTCAATCAACATCACGCCGAACCGAGTCCAAAAAGCGGCACCCCGGTGATTGCGGCAGCTTCGCCCCGCAGCACATCGGTCAGCGCCTTCACATGACGCCCTCAACCCGTCCTTTGACCATCAAGCGCAAATCTCGCATCACGCGGATCCGGAAGACCTTGACGATGCGCACCAGGCGGATGAGTCGACAAAACCTCAGAGGACTAGGACCAAACCGAGCGAACAGCGAGTCTGCAGGGTGATGCCGCACGGGCTTCAGTAAGTGGTTTCAAAGCTGGCAAGAACCTGGAAGAACTCATGACCTGGTCCAGCGATGCCCTTGTTAAGGCCTCCACCGTGCACCCAAATAGCAATGGCCTCCAACCTATAGTAGCTTCCTTGCTACTAGTAAGAACCTGGAAGAACTCATGACCTGGTCCACCTCAGGTGGATTTCTACCAATCGGGAGCCGCTTTCGTCCGGTTTCGTGCCCAGGCGCCGTAAGAGAGACGTCCCTTGCACGTCCGACTCGGTGCCGACCCATTGTAGGGTCAAGTCCTCGATGTCGGACGATGAGTCGATGGGTTTGACGGGTGAAGCACCTTATGTGCCTGGTGATGTCGGTCGAGAGCAGGAACACTCTGAACACATCACATGGTGGAAGTGGATGGCAAGGTCGTAAGGAAAACGACTTTCCTTTACGAACAGGGGGTTTTCCACTTCCATGTTAGTGAGTCGGAGTGTATTCCTGGCTCAAGAATGTTCAGATGGGACAACCACTAGACCATGTCTGTGCTTAAAATTGCATTCTTGAAACCATGGCGCATGAACAATCCCTTTTTTCGCAATGCCATCACGGTCACTGAACTCACCAATTCCATCCAATTCATGCTATTGTGACTGTGCTTTACTGCGTGGGATGGTTGGTTTTATCACCAGTGGCGCGTTGCGAATCCAAAGGCAAGTTTTCTGGATTTGACGTGTTTGGGATGGATTCATGTATGGATCCGCACGGAACAATTCTCCCCTGGATGCATGCTTGCAATATCTTGCAGTCAAACAATGCCTGTTGGAATGATTGGGTTATGCGACTTGTGTTTTTTGTCAATTGCTAGATATCAGCATATCTGCAACATCACCTCTAAGGATGGACTCCCATGTCTGTTACAACAAAACAACACCCAGCCCCAGCATGCCCCAGCCCCACAAGGCCCGAGGCGCTGCTATGCCCACCCCCACCAGAAAGAGATCGAACCAGTTCCTGGGCGCGACGTGCGGCGCAGGGCGCCGGTGTGGACGCAGTTCGTCCAGTCGAGCCGAGCTAGCTGAAGCTCCGCTGCTCGAGCTATGTCCGTGCCAAGAGGCCAAAACTTGTCCTGCCCACACCAGTATTGGCGACAGCGTAGCCTCAGGAAGCGCTGTGACCACCATCTGAAAACATCTGGAACAGAAACCTCATGATAGCCGATTCCGTGAATCCATCATACTGAGCTTGAATGCTTCTCTCCATGATTGTCACATATTGTCACATTTTCCAGCTCCAAATTTTCAATTGTTGTTTGTAACTTAGGGTTTGGTGGTTTAATGTGCATTGAACGCAGTTAAAAAGCACACAGAAACTTCCCTCCAGCTCTGCTCACCTGCTTCCGGGGCACAAATGCACTCGCAAAAGGATCTCGATGACAAGGAGCAGCGCAAAAGCCAGTTCGATGTAAGGCCAGACTGACAGATCTTCGCAGCATGGGTCTGTCTGAAAGCCTCGGAGAGGTTGTGAAGCATAGCTTCAACGGAGAGCTACACCATGGATTTTTGCGGGGCCATTCTAGTTTTGCCGTGATTTTGTTGGCTGTGTGCAAAATAGAGTCTAACTCCAGTGGACACAGTGGACAAGCTGTGTCGAGCGACACTAGCGACTTGTAGGCTGCAGAACCTCCCCAAAAGTGGATGGCTTTCAACTTTGAACCGGCCCGTGCCCCAAAGGAACATCTTAAATTAGATTGTGTTGTGTGCAGTTTAGTCTTTTGTCGATAAACTAAAGTTGTACCTGACCGGGCTGGACCTACGAGATCCTTGTCTGAGGGTCTGAGGGGCAATTTTCATCAAAGCGATGTCCACTCCCGCAAAGCATTCGTGTCCACTCCCAGAAAGCACCATCAAACAGCGCAAACAGCAAGATCTTTGATTTCAACGGAACCTCCAGCTTCGGCAGCTTCGGGAGGCGATCTGTTTCCACTCAATGGCTTATAATGGCTCGGGGGGCCATTTCCGAACACCCATGACTTGGGGACACATCCAAAAACACGCAAAACTATAGTGGACCTAGTGGATTGAGAGTAGATGACACAGACCCCAAGAGTCCCAAAAGGTGGTTTCATAATGGTTTATATGAACCCCCATGTGCTTAACAGCTGAAAAAACATCTTGAGGTCTATGCCATCTACTCTGTAAACTTCTCCGTTCGACTTCAACCCAAGCTCAAACCCTCCGAGTGAGTGGCCTGGATCTGAGACGAAATGGTCATCACCAGCCGTGCACCGAGAGCGACAGCACCCAGTTGTTCCGGCTCAACGGTCGTTTTTGAAGGACCATCCCAGATCCACATCCAAACACTGCACATTGGTTCGGTCGCTCCATTCCGGATGTCCTTGGGCTTGCCTCCTATCGCCACAATATGAAAGGCTTCTGGGGACGTGCGTAGGTCAGTCATTGCTATTTCTTCCCAGCAGCCAATCATGACGCCATTCCCAACCTGAGCAGGCTGTCGAGGTCCTCAACGAGTTTATCTATTTATTGATATGTTTTTTTGGCCCGCTAGGAGGTAGCTAGTAGAAGAGGTAGCTAATCCAGTGACTGGTGTAGTAGCTTACTTAAGCTGCTAGTATGGACGCAGGATAGCTCATGCTTCTTCAAGGAAGCTCCCCCGGCCGCCTTTAATGACCTAGATTTTGAGGGAAATTAACTTTCAGAAACCTGGATCAACTGACAAGGTGAGGGCGGGCTTTCTAAATTGCCCTGCCAGGTGGGAGATGCCGAATGAGCATTGGATTCTTTCAAATGTTCCTCATTGTTCCTCCTTCCATCATTTCCTCCTTGCATATCACATGTGTGTGTGAAGTCCATCAGAAATCAGCAGTGCGGGCCGAGTGGCAATCAGCAATGCGACAATGGGCTCGATATAGGTCAGTGGATGTACCTGGAAAGTCTTTGCGCAAAATGTGTTTGACCCGCTTCCCTCTATGAAGTCATATATGGGTGAGGGTCAACGGCTTACTACGTAAGCTTTGAGCAAGAATCTTGGTTCGCCAGCATGGCAAATGTAGTACGCCAGCACGGTGAAGGCTGTGAACAAAAGTCCAGACTTGTGAAGGGCTCGCGCCATCCCTGGATGCTTCAACTCCATGCCCACATAGCAATGCAATGTTTCTTGGAATTGTTGGCTGGTGATTCATCCATGTGACAATGCTTCAGAAAAGCACCACTCATCATCCCTGGTCCCTCCAACCCTTGCATGGTCAATCCCAAAAGCATCATCCCAGCCATCTGTCACCAAGAGACCGGCTCAGGAGGCGCTGCTAAATCATTGATTCGGACCTGAAGACGACAGGGGCTGCCAACCGCCACCAACCGGCGGGAACCGACGTAGTGCACTGGTGCACGAAAAAAACCCTCCGTGCAAGGACAAAACCAAAATAGGTCGGTCCAAAACCGCCTCATGGAGGGCGTGAAAACCACTCAAAACAAGCAGAACCCTTCTTTCGCAAACGGTGAGCATTTGGGATTTGAGCCAAGAGTTGGGTTCCAGAACCTGTATTTTTTGAAGAGATTGGCCGCTCTTCTTCTTTTTGGCCCACCATCACCACATCATAGCACTTCTACCTGCCGACGAGTCGAAGTCTCCAAACCGGGGCCAGGAGGTGTGTGGAGCTGCGCCAGGGCGACGAGGGATGGCCCTCTCAAGAGCCCACAACAGGATCCCACACAGGGACCCCATCAAAAGGCCAATACCCGAGGCTGCGCCGATAACTAATCGGGTGGAACTGGTAGTTTTAATTATGTAGTTTTCACCCTTGGTAGCTTGGTAAGGGAGAATCATCTTCCAGCATCTTCCAATGGAAGTTTCCATGTTAGCCATCAAATGGTGAAACCCTTGCAGGAGGTTGATAGCAAATGCAAGCGTTCAAGCGCAAAGCTATTAGGGCAACCATTTTAGACACAAATCTAAAATCCTCAATGTTCACCACGTCAAACGGATTGTGAGCCATTTACTCCAAAGCATCTTCTGCAGTACCGTGATTTGGTAAGTGATAAGAGAGCAACCCGCCCTCTTGGTCTGGGAGGATTTCGAGGTTAAGCATGGCGTAGCTGTCTACACAAACACCAATAATAAAAGGATAACAAGAAGAGTTTGAGGATCTGCAGGGGAAAGCAAAACCACCTTCGCCAAGTCACATAGGTTTGTGCATATTGAACAAAGGGCTTCAAAAAAGCTGCAAACTATGCTGAGCTGGACTGGCGAACATCCCTCATAAGCTGGCAAATCTTTTGTCTGTTCCCTCCCATCTCTCGTCCGAAGAACGAAAGTCAGCTCCGCCACCAAGCGATTAGTATCACCAGCCAACAAGATCTCGCGCATCGACAAGTACCTGAGCCAGACAGGATGTCAGTCTTAAACAAATAAACAGCACAATTAGTTCTGGAATTGCCAACATAGCCTTTTTCTGTCAAAAGCACCAACCCGCAAAATGAGCGTAGATGTCAGAATCCCAAGAGGTGGTTTATGTGGACCCCATCTCAAAGACATCTTGTGGTGCCAGCGCCATCTACTCTGAAACAACTGTACATGCAAGAAGTAAGGGACTGGTTGATGTACTTGGCAGTGAAGATCTTTTTCATCGCCTGCCACAAGGCCACAAGGCCAGTCACGCCACACGGACGCGGAACAGGAACGCACCTCTAGAATCTCGTACCCTGAAGGCTCGAAGCGAAATCAAACTAATGTCGAAGCCCAATTAGTCAATCCGGAGGGAATAGAAAAATAATCCCACCACATCAATAGTTTAAGTGGGAATACAGTGATGTATGTTTTTGTCAGGAGATGCCAGGAGGCTTAAAATATCATTACTTTTCTATTGTTCTGCTATTGCTGCCCTTTTGGGATCCTTGCTCAACTCTTCTGAGGTTTGCTTGATTCATGGAACTCTTATCTGAAAACCTTTCTTAAAATGCACTCAATAAAACTACAGTATATAAAACTCATCGGTTTCATTGCTCCAAGCAATTATTCAAGGGGAGTGGTGCACAAGCCCAGGGGAAGTGTATTGTATCAAATGTTAATATAATGTTTGGGGGGTGGAGTTGTGAAGTAAACTTGGAGCCTTAGGGAAATATCTGAGCTTCGTGCTCTGTGGCTCTGTGGTTCTGCTACTTGAAATACTTGACAACCACCCGGCCACCCCAGCAGCCACTTGAAGGAGTACTGAACCGAAACTCTGGAACTTCCTTCGCACTCCGGACCTTTCTTTTGTCTCGGCCCCCGCTGGACCGAGCCATTGGACTGCAAGCCGACGCGCAAACCCGACGGCCGCCTCTTCATCATCAGCCAGGAAGCAATCCACCAAAGCTCGGGCAGGCACCACATTGTACTGCCCTAGCGAGACATCCACGCGTGCAAGCAAGTCAAGCGTGGGGGTGTGGAGGGTTATCAGGTGTCGAGGTGGACGGAAGAGCATGGTGCTACCTGGGAAGCCAATGTTCACACCGATCCTTTTGCAAGTGGATGCTGCTAAGGGTAAAATTCACCCAAATTAAGCAAAACAATGCAAACAGCGTGAACAAAAATCGGTCTAACCATCTGACATCTTCCGCTTTTCTGACCTGCCATGACCATCCTCCGTGACCATCCGCGCCTTTCGAACGCATGGAACTTTCGGAGCGTTGCAGCCTTGGCGTCCCCGGTGTGAAGGCCCAAACAGGGGGAATTGTATCATTCATGAATTGGATACCTGCGTGCATCTACCATAGCCCATGGTCTTCCCGCCATCTACTGAATCTACTTTACAACTGTAGTCTCTAACTTCTGCCACTACTTTTGGATGATGCGAGGGCCGTGGGCCGCAACCAACAGCCACCAAATGGTCGATTCCCGAGCGGCTTTTGTGAAGCGATGAATAGTCAACTTCAACCAATGTCCTTGATCAACATGACTTCGCCACCTTTCTCATGACGAGCTCATGGGTCTCAAACTGATCCATCTTTTCTGATCACCTCCGAGTGGCACCGTCCTGGAGACCGACACACTGACACTGCTCGTCCGCTTCTGCGGGATGACGTCCTGGAGATCGTGGCTCTGCGGAGTGGACTGCAGGCTTTGCTCGGGGCAAGTGTGCTTGACTGGATTTGGGCCTCATCATGTGTGCTCCAACCTGTGAATTGCGCGCCAGATGTTCCTTCCATTCGTCGTACAGCCAACCTCTCCGACTCCAAGCCCCCCACTACAAATACAAAAACACCAAGAGTCACATGGAGTTGCCCATCCAGGGGCCTATGGATGTGTTCTGGGGCACCCCTAACCTCTATATGGATGGCAACTGCTGGTAATGGCACTGTTACCCATGCGATTCATTGACGGCCAGTGATTCCCACCTTCCGACCCGTCCAAAAAGAGCCTCCGACGACGCGGCCGACTGTCCTGCGGGTATTCCCAAATGGGCTTCCCCAGTTCTTTCGGGTTCGGCTGCTTGAAGAGCCCATTGACGATGCCGTTGGAGATGCCGCTGTTTCGCTTCTTCTGAGCCAGCTGAGAGTTTCGCTGTTCGTTTGCGTACGCTTTTGGACGGCTTGATGCTACAAAGGCTGTGTCCACGTCCATTGGTGGATCATGCACCCTCCCAGTGGCAGCCGAAGCTTCTCAAGCAAATATAGCACAAACAAACATTAACAAGCATTAATAACACTTCCTTTGTCATCATTTGTCATCTGATCCACCACTTAAAACCCTGTGACGGCCGAAGGGTGCTCGTTTACACATGGTGATGGTGACCTTTGAGCCACCCAAGCGTCTCTGGGTGCTTCAAATCGCAAGTTGATGAAATCAGCCAGCTGGTTGACCATACCATTCCTCAGCAAGTGCCGCACATACCAAAGGCCAAATGTGATAACCATAACATTTGCACTGGGAGAACGGCCTTGGATGCAGATGTTGTTTACGAGTTTGGTGGGTGGGAGAAGCTTTCTGGGAATCTGCTGCCAATGGTTGAAAGTACGCGCCAGAATCAAAGGTGAAACACATGGTCCACATGGCGCATGGAGCACGCACTTGGTAGGAGTGATCACATTTCCCGGCTTTTATGTTTATATATGCACAGCACGCGTTTAAACATCATACTTAGTTTTATGTATGTCATGTAATGTCATGTGATGTATGTATATTGTATATACACCCTCTGTCAGCTTGGCACCATTCGGATTGCAAAGGCCTTCAAGTACTGGGACTCAACTGAATGAATGAACTCGTGAACAAACTGCTGGCATCAACAAGTTCTCATGACAAAAGTTATAATGTTACATTATTGTTGTGTATGTATATGTGCATATAATTTATATAGAGATATTATGATATTTATACATACTCCATTGACAGTGAAGGTATAGCAGTCCATGTCTTTGGAGAAGTGTGTTTTGCTTTGTTGCCTCTTTGAACCACAGGACGTACCAGTCCACCTCCAAAGGCTTTTCCTTTGTTTCTCAGCATCCTTATGGAGACCCATGACATCCCATGACTGGGTGATCTCTAGGGTGACAGATGCGACTATTCTCATCGAGTGGCATGAGTGCGACGTGATGGCCGGGAAGAAGGATGTGCTCGCGCTGAAACCGTGGGTTCAACCAAAAGGGCAGGGTGTAGGTCAGTGTAGGTCACCCATGTGCTTGATCAATAGTCACCAAAGCTTGTGCTGGTGTTACTTTGGTGTTTTGGACCACTTGGCGGAACTCAACATACAAGTGTGTCTACTGGCATAACAACTGTAAGAAAGCAAAGGTGCTTTGGTTGTGTCAAACAATGACCTTACTTCCCCTCCAAATCCGATTCCAAACAAACAAGCATGTGCAATGTGAAAGTATCTTGGTGCAGCTACGCCCGGTCCAATATGACTCACTGCCCGTGCTGCCATGAGGAGATATAAGAAGACCTTGCACAAATGACCCATGATCCAAGACTCATATCTTCCTCAGAGTATTTCGTCAAGCCCAATGATTGCACCGCTTCCAGCAAGCTCTTTCCTGAAACCTGGGGAGAGGTTTTGGGCTTGCAAATAACCTGGATCGAAAACCTGGATCGATCGCGAAGAACAAGATCCATGGCATCTCCAACAGCACCCACAAGTTCTTGGACGGTGATCCAGTGAGACATCTGCAACCTAAAAAAGTCTTCAATCTTGGTTGTCATCTGAGCAGAATAAGAAGCCGCTTAGGATTGGTTTCCCATAGTGTCCTGAAGTGCCTTGGCACAGGCGCAGTCACTGGCCAAACACTGGCTAGCAGCTAGCATTGTTGTCAGTAATCTCTCGGGCCCCTCCAATCGTCAATGGCCAACCATCCGTTGGTGATGCACCTGTTGTAGTGCAGATCTTTGTCCCACAACCGTCTTTCGATTCACAAACTGTTTTGAGTGGTTAGACTTAGTCCATCTTAGGTCCAATCCTCATCCCATGTCACTCCGTTCAACATGACATTGAGTTGGGGTCGAATGATGCCGACCCCGGGTGGTTGTTGTGCCAAAAAGACTGCCAAGACGGGTCAACCCACCAAGGGACGAGGTGGTTGGATGAGACAGCTCCCAATCGAAGTCTCAGGCGGTTCCGGACGGACTCCACCTCTTTGGCCGTGAAGTCCGCCAAAGCGCTATTGATGAGATGACTGCTGTCTTGGTTCCTCGCACCTCCGGACAGGCTTGGCAGGTGCATGTCAGGAGGAAACGACCAGAAAAAACGAGTCCTTTGATGATCGAGTAGAAATGTACTGCAAGTCTCTGAAACATTGTTGAGGAATCATGCACCATCTTGATTTGTGAATTGATGTCCCTTGTCCCCAAGAGTCCCGTGGCCAAGGTAACTGCTATTTGGACAACGTGACATGCTGCAAACAAATATGCAAAACCTGTAGCCTGTAATCCACCTGGTGCGCAAAAGCTTTGTCAACAGCGTAGGCCTTCGCTGGTGGTCGGTTCCTGCTCGTCCTCACTCAGACTCATGCAGCTCAGGTTGCTGCCGTTGCCTAGGTTATGCATCTTCCTAAATATGGGGACGCAAACTCAAACAATCTCAAACACATCTTCCCCAACAACCTGTGGGTTTGTGAGACATACACAATTTTGGGTTTGTGACATGATGCACATATCCATGGTGGATCTAAGTTGCATGGTTGTTTCCTTTCTTCGCCCTTAGCTCTTGCCCTCTAAATTGCTAGGACACAAACAAGCTCCCATAGTGCAACTCTGTAAGCCCACCAAGCACTTATAAGGCAAATCCATCAAAGAACCAACTAAATAATACTACATATATTACATACCAGGATATACCAGGACCTTTAAAGTGACCTAACTTGAGATCTCAGAATGAAGTCACTGACCCTAAAAAGGTCACTTAGAAACTCCAAAGAGGTCACTTGCTTTTCTCCATCTCATGCCCATGACGAGCGGACAATTTTTCTGACTGCAATGCCAGGTGCTGGTAAGGAACCCTGCATTTTCATACTCCTGCACGACAAGCCGTGGGCTCATGCAGTGTCATGCAGTGTGATGCGGCAGGACTGACAAACACTCCCATGAACGAGCCTCATTAAACTTCTGTAAACACAAAATTGTCAAAGCTTAAAGTACCCAACAAGCTGGTTCGTCACTCATTGCGGTCCTGCTTGAGGACTACAGGAGTGCCATCAAGATTGCGCATCATTGCACCACCCACTTCGTTGTCATCCGAGGACCCTGTGCTGATGAGCCTGCCATTGTGTTCGAAGCCTGCCAGCCGTCAAGTCGTTTGCAGGATCCGGGTGTGTCAAAATATCCATCAGTCTGCTTATCTCCGCGAAGGCTAACTGCGAAACGACGAACCACCACAAACAACATCTGTTCAAAATTGATCAAATTTGTTCACTTGGCCCGGGTATGCGTGAGCCTGGAGCACTTCCCCCCCGTTAAGCCGTGACGAGACTTGCAGTGTGGGAAACGCAGTGACTTCTGATGGAGAAATCCTCGTCTTGAAATGTCTTGAACACTTGCAAAGAACTCTGGAACTGTGCGCAACTGTATGTCAGGGTAAAGGCTCTATGTCAATTGATCTGCACTGTTTTTTTCCCCATAAAGCCGTTTCCACCTGCGGATCTTGAAACAGAACGCACAAAACGAGAAGTGTACAACTAGGTACACCAGACCACAGGCTTAACTGCCTTCGTGTTTGGCTCAAGAAAACAGGACCGCTTTTTGTGAAGCATGGGTTATGAGCCCAAGCGGTCAGCGGTGCCATGACATCCATGTTGAGCCGGCGACGATCTGCATCCAAGGAAAGACAGCAAACAGCCGATGAAAGGCTGGATGAGCTGCTGGCACAACAAACGCCAGCCAGACGGACCCAGAGCGCGGAACCAAGCTCGCGGAGACCGGCCTTGGTGAAGAGCACACGCCAAGCACCAGCCGCAGGGACACCAGGAGGGGCAAGGACGGATCCTCGGACCACGGGTGCGGAGACGGGCCAACTGCAGTTGGAACCACCGCCTGGCACTATGTTGGCTGGACTACTTCCACCTCTACCTGGAGGAGGGACGTCTCCTTGGTGGCGGGACTATGGCGGCTGCGGAAGTGATGCAGGGTCAGCTTAGGGATCAACTGCCTGGTGGGTGGTCGGTTCTACAGGGCCCGTATCCACAGGGTTATCCGGTGGTCTTCCATCCTGGGGGAACTCCGGATGCATCAGGACAGTTGCCCATCCTTCCAGGACGTCGTGAACGTGAGGGAGGAACGCTGGCGGAAGAGGCTTCAACGTCTAGTGGAGCTATCTCGTGGTGATCGAGAACGCCAACGTGGGGGACCTCAGCCTGATCAAGCCAAGCTCTTCGTCCTTGCCATGTTCCGGACCCCGTTCCTGAACAATATGAAGGTGAACTTGGAGGACAACATGGACGTGATTTGGTGACCGTAGGTGCCATGTCGAGGCAACAATCGCCTATCAATCCCTGGTCTGCCGAAAAGATCAAGCAGACCATGGATCTCCCGCAGAGCCAAAGCCAAGAGGCGGGTGAAACCGTTGAACTTCTACGCCAACGAGTTCTTCGTGATGCCGAACAGCGTTTCGCTGATGGTGTTCGACAGCTCCTGGGAGGAGGCAATCCGCCTTCCGATGCTTCGTTCAAGACGGCCGCGGAGACTGGAGGCGCAACACAAGGGGATGGGAAGCAACAGGTGCCGGAAACCGGGGGACCACGGCAGCCTTCGGGAACGGGAACACAGGTGGCTTCATCCTCAACTATGACTACAAGTGGTGGTGCTCCTGTTCCTGGAGGCAATCTTCCTGGACCTGGACCCGCTCAAGGACCTGGACCTGGAGTATGTTTTGCTTGGCCATATCCCCCTGGAAGCTTGGAAGAGGAGCTGCTGACTTGGTGGAGCCAACGCTTCCTTGAGGTTCCTGCCAGGATCTTCCGGTACATGACGGAGGAGCACGATTTTGGTGGTGGTGCTCTTCCATGGAATCGACGGCAGCGACGACGGTTGCTGGCGGCTAAACGTGTGGTGCTTCATCTCTTCGCGGGGGAAAAGGCCGACGAGTGGGAGGAGCTCAAAAAGTATGACTGCGAGGTTATCACCTTGGACATCATGCACAACAAGTCGCAGGACCTGCGCAACCCGGTGTTGTGGTCTTTCTTGATGCGCCTGGCCAGGCAAGGAACTTTGGCAGCCATCATAGGCGGACCCCCGTGCCGGACAGTGTCGAGGTTGCGATTTAGGCGACCAGGCCCAAGGCCACTTCGAGATCGAGGAGCACATCGTTTTGGATTACCGAACCTCAGCGTTGCAAAGCAGCGGTTGGCGGACCACGACGCGGCCCTCGTCATCAAGCAGGTTGGACTCTATCTTGCCACGGAAGAAGCCAAGGTGGAGTTGGGTGGACCAAACGGCACTACGGGCTTCCTCTTGGAGTCTCCAGCGGACCCGGCCAAGATGGTGGGGGATGGTGGACGAATGCCGTCTTTCTGGAGTTGGCCGGAAGTTTTGGGTCTGTTGGAGGAAGAGTCCATGGGGATGGTCACCCTGGATCAAGGTGCCGTAGGGCACTCCAAAAAAGAAACCAACATCGCTGCTCACCAACATGCCGGGGATGATGGAGCTACATGGACTTCGAGCTCGAGGTGATGATGAACCCCTTCCTGATGACCTACAGGCCAGTATTCAGGCATCAAAGTCCTGGTCTTTGTGGGCTCCGGGATTGAGAGCGACGATTAAGGAGTCCCTCCGATGCATGTTGGAGCAGGGTGCAACACAACAACGAAGGATAGCCAAGCTATCTCAGAAGGAAAAGGACATGTGGGCGACACACTTTCGCCAAGGCCATCGACCCTTTCGCAGGGACTGCAGGCTTTGCATTGAGCAGGCAGGAACCCAAAAGCCGCATCGACGTCGAGGAGACACCCAAAGAATGTCATCGGCGTGGTCAGTGGCGGTGGACATCGTGGGCCCGCTATCTATGACAAGGGATGGCGCTTCAGGGCGGGTTGTTCGCTATGCTATGATCGCGGTGGCATTGGTCCCGGACTTCAACGCGGTGGCGGAGGATGACGTGGCGGAGAAGGACGTTGCGGAGGAAACCGTGGCGGAGAAGGACGTGGCGGAGAAAGACGTCGCGGAGAAAGATGGGGCGGAGGATCAACATGAGGAGAAGGTTCCTACACCCAAGGAAGACTCTACGCCGGAGAGGGTGGTGGCACCAGAACCGGGGGAGGATGAAGGGGTGATGGAGGAGGAACTGGACATCATGGATCCGGCCCATGACTATGACTTTGAGGCGGAGCTCCAAAAGTGCCAGCGTGGAGTTCCTCTGAAGCACGTGACCTGCGTGGAGGTGCTGGAATCCCGCGCCAAGGCTGAGGTGATCGTTGGCTTGCAGAAGTTGATCACAAAGTATAAGGCCATGGGGGTGGCGGCGAACCGCTTGCACACCGACAGGGCGAAGGAGCTCATCAGCAAACAGGTGGAGGCATGGTGCAGTCGATGGGGGATTGTACAAACATCCACTGGAGGAGACGACCCTGCCGCCAACGGCCATGTAGAGGCTGAGGTGAACCAAGTCAAAAGGCGTGCGAGGCTCCTGCTGGCGCAACATGAATGTGCAGGTCAACTCTGGCCATCGGCGATGAGGTACGCGGTGGAGGAGAGGCGAAGACGCCAGTTGGAGGAGCTTGGAGTTCCAACATTGCCTATGCTGCCATTCTATGCCACTGTGTATGTGAAGGCGAAGAAGTGGCATAAGGAGGGGGGGGCTAATGGCACCATTTGTGCAGGGCAGACTAATGTGTCCCAGGCCCATGATGAACGATGGATGGGTGGTGCAGGCCGAGGATGGCAAGATCCTTCATGTTCGAGAAGCTGTACAACCGAACACTGAGGCGGAGGATCTACGTCGAGAACTTGAAGATCAACAAGCACAAGTTCGCCTACAGCTGGAGGAGGAGCCACGACCAGGCCAGCCATATCATCGCATGTGGGGGGAAACAGCCATTGGATGGACAACCACGCCTTCCTCAAGCTGGAGGACAACAGGGTGCGACTACGCCAACAGCGGGGGGGGACTTCTCCTTCTTCAACAGCTTTGGGCACAGCTTCGGGCGCAGCAGGTCCTGGGGGAGTTGCTGGTGAGACCGCGGGAGCTGGAGACGCGAGGCCCGGGGGAGCTGTGATTTGGAGGCATGATGACCCTCTGGCCATTCCTATCTCGACTACATCGTCATCATCCAAGGGTGTGCGGACGTTGGGGGTTGAGAACAGTGAGGAAGGAGCATGGGCCGCTGTTGACATCGAGCCGGCGCGAGGTGGTTGTCGGTGCAAGAGTTGGAGGACTCCTGGGGTGATCAACAGGGGTGCCTACAGGGGTGATCAACAGGGGTGCCAACAGGGACGCTTGGAGGCCCTCGTTCCATGAGTACGACGTGCTGGTCAAGGAGACTGAGGCGGTGGTCCCCACGAAGAGGCACTTGTTGGCGCCGGGCACGGAGCTGGTTCCGGGGAAGATGGTCTGTTGTAAGAAAGGGGGCACAGGGGCCAAGAGATCGAGGGCGGTGATCTGTGGCAACCTGGCCTCGGAGCAAGCTGATCCACCTCCTGGAGGTTAGGTTTGCCTGGTGGCTCCTACGCAAGTGGGGCGGATGGGGTGCTCATTCGAGCATCGCTGTTGGAGGCCAGTCAACGTCGTTGGGAGATCACTTCGTTGGACGTGAAGTCCGCGTTTCTGCAAGCTCCTCGACCACATCAACCAAGGTGGCAAGCCCGTGGCCGTTCAGCCACCGAAGGTGATGGTGGACCTGGGAGTCTGTGAACCGGATGAGGTCTGGCTCATCAGAAAAGCCCTCTACGGGTTCAATACGAGTCCATCGTATTGGGCGATCTACAGAGATCAGGTCCTGGAGGAGCTGGCGTGGGAGGACGACAACGTCGCCTACCACCTGATCCAGACCAAGGAGCGCAACCTGGAGACGCATGTGGTCAGAGGCCTTCTCTTGGTGTACGTCGACGACCTCCTCGTGATGGGAGATGCAGTGGCGCGACCCGGTCTTCTCAAGTGCATCCAGTCCCGGTGGAAAACGTCCACGCCAGAGACGGTGGATGACCAGGGTTGGGTGAGGTTTTGTGGGTACGAGCTCAAAAGCCATGAAGGGGGTTGTTTGTTCTTAGGTCAACCCTCCTACCTGGGTGAGTTGCTGCAGAGGCACAACATCGTGGACAAGAAGACGGTTCCGCTTCCGAAGGACTCTGTACCTCCTCCAGAGGTGGAGGAAGGGGTGACTGCGGAGGAGATCAAGAAGGCGCAGGGCATCGTGGGGGAGATCCTGTGGGGGCCATTCGCAGTCGGCCTGACCTGTCCTATGCCATCAGCGCTATGGGGAAAGAGGTCACAAAACGGCCGAGGTGGGTGCTCCGGGTGGGACAACATGTTCTGGAGTACCTGAATGGCACAATGGACTACTTCCTGCACTATGTCCCCTGTGAACCTGGCGATCGTGGACCTCATGGTGATCTTCCGTTGGAGCGCTCTACATCGTTGGTGGAGCTCTACAGTGACATCTCGTACGCCCCGCAAGGGGAAAAAAGTGTGCAAGGCATCGTGGCGATGATTGTGGGCGCCACTGTGCAATGGGAAACTTCCAGGCAATCGTGTCTGGCATTGTCAACGGCGGAAGCTGAACTGTACTCCTATGTGGAGGCCTTAACTATGGGGGATTCGCTGCAGGCGCTGTGGACGGAGGTGCATGGAGAGACGCCGGAGATCGTCACCTATGGCGACAGTCAGGCTGCCATCTCCATCGTGCGCAATCCGGATGGTCCATGGCGTACCAGACATCTTCGACTCCGAGCTAACGTGCTTCGAGAACGAGCTCAACAGGGGCGATGGAAGATCTTCCACATGGCGGGCACGCAGCTGAGCGCCGACTACCTGACCAAGAGCATCACGGTTCGAGCTTCCTGGGACCGCTTCCGGGCGTTCACCAACCTCCTGAAGGTCGAGAACCAGGGTGGGGTGGCTGCTGACGATGGGGAGGGTTCGCAGGACGCGGTGGAATCCATGGTGCGGGTGGCGAAGCTTGCTGCGTGTTTGGCTGGGTGCGCGGCTATGACCTGGCCTTCCTACACTGCAAAGGCGGCGGTGGCAGCGGCGCTTGCGATTGGGCTGGCCTAGGCTTTAGCAAGGGTTTTGGGCGAGGAGCCAAGATCCGGGGGAGTGTTCAACCATGTCAGATAGGGAAATTCAACAAGAATTGAGATCTACTGAACACTCCACCCGGTTGCAACCTCGTTTGTGTGCCCTGCGGCCTTCGCCGGCAAGGGAAGAACAAGACCAACAGGGGTCAGAACAACGGACCAGTCAAGAAAACATAAGAAATGTTCAAGAGGCCAGAAACTCATCGGCGTCGGGCCGCACGCCAATTGCAGGGGAACGTGTCTCGGAAACTGAAGGCCCTGGGTTTCAACCGTAGCCTAGAGGCTCCCAACTCCACTGTGTTCGGCTGCCTGCTGTCTTCCGAGGTGGTCGTGAAGATCTTGGAGGAGATCAAAGGCAGCCGGAAGAGGTGCACTACACCAACTCCAGGGTGACGCAGGAGGCCATGGACACGGGCATCTATGACGTGACAAGACCGCGGATGGTGGTCACCAGTGAGGGCATTCGGACGCTGCGTCCGGAAGAGGTGGATATGGAGACCCAGACGATTCGCCTCATCCCAAATGAACGGCTGGTGGTGAAGTCTCCGCCGCCGGCAAAGCGGCCTCCGGTGCCACCTCCTAAACAACCTCCTGTACCCTTTCAACCGCGTGGTTATGGGGGGGCTACATCGAGTGGTTCTTCAAGGCCAAGCGAAGCTGCAGAGCGAGGACAGGCGGCGATGGCATCTTCGAAGGCGATGGGGACTGCTATGGGGCACACCTCAAAGGCTGCAGGAACTGTTATCCAAGGAGTTTCCAAGTCGGCAGCCGCGGCGAGGAGTTCGAGCTCTACGGGACCACCTACGCTGGAGCGAATGCAGCAGCCGGCGGCCGACAGGCCGTGGAACAGACCTGGTAAGGCTCCACCGGCGCAAATCCTGATGCCGGTTGGGGGCTTGATGGATGATCAGTTGGAGTTCCAAAACTCGGTGTTTTGGACGCCGGAGATCTTGAACCACGTGCAGGATCTCTTGGAAGAGGAGGCGTTGTTCTACAAACCAACGCTCAAGAGCGACAGGTGGGATCACCTAACTATGGATGGCTGCAGGTGGGTAGTTCGCTACCATGGAGGTGCTCGTGTACAACGTTTTCATCCCGAGCACCGCAGCTGTCCTGAAGAGATTGAGAACCTCGAGTTCATGAGGATCACGGTGGCATGGAAGGGCACCGAATGGCATCGACGTGTTGCCATCGACAGTGATTGGCGCAGAGCTGAGCTGCCGGGACCGGGCAGCTGGGTGGGCTTTTCGTTGTTTTTTGATCCGAAGTGGATCACGCCAGATGTAAAAAACATCTGAAGCTGAGCCTGTCGTCCTTTGCAGGACGGGGGGGAGTGCGGATCTTGAAACAGAACGCACAAAACGAGAAGTGTACAACTAGGTACACCAGACCACAGGCTTAACTGCCTTCGTGTTTGGCTCAAGAAAACAGGACCGCTTTCTGTGAAGCATGCCACCAAAAGAAGCTTGTGTAGAAGCTTGCAAGTCAAAAAGCGCATAAGTGTTTGGTAAACAGCGGGCCCCAGGGGGACAAACACCCCGAAACCACCTGTTTCAAAGTTGTTTTCAACCACAAATGGGTAAGTGTTCTTTCTTGCATCACCCTTCTTGCTCTATCTATCCTCATGTTGGTGCTCAAGCAAGACAAGCAAAGTTGCAAAGGAACAGGGAGATTTAAGCTTGGTAGTTCCAGGAACCATTTAACAAGTTGTAATGAGGACTAACTAATACATACTTATACTATCTATTATAAACTACCTTGTAACTTGCAACATCATATAAATATTTATAACTCGGTAGTTCCAGTTCCAGGCAGTTGCCCGATTCCCTCTCCTTCATCCCAAGTTTGGTGTATCCCTTCCCCCCCGATCCCCAATCACCGCTCCACTCCTCCAGAGCTCTCCGGATACACCGCCAACAAGCGCTGCCGGAAGTCCAACCAACCTGCGTGGCAGAACTTCCGTTGCGTTGCTGCGCAAGGCAGTGGATGGTTTTGCGTTTCGCAGTGGGCACGTGGTGGGATGCGGATGTCTCACGATGTAGCAGTCGACAAATACGACATGCTACGACCCGAAAGAAGTCTTCGGTCCGGAGAAGCCACCCTCAGCACTTAGGAGTCCTTCGAACATTTCCACACGACGGAAAACGCCGTGAGTGAAAAAGAATCACAGCAATGAATGGCATCTTTTCATTGTAGGATTGCTCAAGCTGTTCCAAGTACAGGGCTCCGTCTTCAGCCTCGGCCACTTATGACGCCCAAGCATTCTCCTCCAATCGGCCTATAGGACCTCTTCTTCACCCCACCAACCACCCAGTACCACCGATGTCCCACCAGGTCCCTTCGGCTGAGAAGCTGCTGTCCAAGTAATTGGCAAAGCTCTCGCGGTCCATGGCGGACGAGACTTCGCTTTCGTTGGTGAACAGTCAAGATGCACTGGCACAAAAACGGAGTCCGAATGGAAAGAGGCGAGCCAGCAACCTCATTGATGGAGTGGATTTAGTTTTCCATCTATACTTAGGGGAACACGACAAATACACAAATACATAAGATCTTGTGTGCCATTCTGTGAAGGCTTGTCTTCAACCTTTTCCGACGACAAAAGAAGGAAATCACTGACAGCCCATAATATATAGTTGTCGCAAAAGGGCACAGGGCACAGAATCCACGCCTACACATGTACGTACTTCAGATATCTTGGGATCATGTGACATGTCTGTTGACATCTTCGGAACACAAAGGCCCGAGGCTACCAGAAAAGGCATGGCCCAACTCTGCCTGACAGAATCGCTCTGCGGCCTGAGTTGTTGCTACTTGGTCGGTCTTTTGTTCAACGGTTTGTCCAAGCCAAATAGCTGAGAGAAACCAACATTGACCTTTTCTGACAAAGAACCTCATGAAACAAAAAAGCGGCAATGCATAATCCACGGCAATGAGTGTGATCCCATCTGGCAGGGGGGTTCGGCTCGTGACCTGCAAATTGGTGGCCCTCGCGATCTCAAAAGCTTCCGGCCTGGAGAAGCCCTCAGGACAGCGGACAACACACTTCACTTCACCATGGCGGCCACTTCGCGACCCCGAGGCATGTCAGGAACCAGCTGAAAAGGCAACATGACAGGAACCAGCTGCACCCCGCTGTTGCATCAAGTCTCTATAATATAATATAGCACTAGAGATCAGAAGGGTATAGCTGCAACTTCACGAATGATTCTACAGCAAGTCTTCGAGCAAGTCTGGAAGAGAAGCATTCCGGTCTCAAATGAACACCGTGCGTGTCTAAGTGTGAATTTGTTCACAATGCAGGATCCTGGACCAGCAGAAGCAATCCGAAGGATGCAAACATCGACCAGCACCTTGCGCACCTCTTTGACACCTCTTTGGCTGGTTAAAGCTCGAGCAGTCAGGGCCCCCCCCAGTCAAAGGAGCAATTTAGATAGCAATCAGCAGCAATCATGTATATATAGAAGGAACATTTATGAAAATTGTATCCCAATCAGGTAATGACTTTGCTTGCCTCATTCTAGGTCTAGAGCACAGAACAGAAACGGTACCCTGACTATCGGGAACATTAACAAGACCTCGTGAAAGCACAGCTGCTGCATAATTTTATGCAGCACAACGCTCACTGTATCACACGCCATTGCATGCCTGCCCAGGAACGTCGCGTGCAAGATGAGGCCACAATGATCTCTTGATCAGACCAGCAGCTGTTTCGCTTGCTCATCTCGAGCAATCAAACCATCTGTTTGGCTTTGCGGGAGGTTGATGACCTTTGCTCGAAAGCAAAACATGTACAGTATATAACTGCAGTAAGCTCACAAACAAAACCCCTGCAACTGCAAGGAGGATGAGAGTTCTAGCCGTGTGAAGCCCCTTGTATAATTGTCATTCTTTCATATTCTAGCTATTCGCCTATGGAGCTCTCAGATTGATATAAAAATAGACCAATATCAACTCAGCATGATACTCAATCAAACATACGCGGACCCACAGCTGGCATTTCAATTGCAACTCGTTATTTCCTTCGCACAACTTGGTCAACGCACGACATCATGGTGCCTATCTGCATCACCAGCATGGCGATACAACCCATCAGAAGAATCACCTGGAAACGCTTTCAGCGCTGGTCGGTGGACAGCCGACGACGCAGCTTCCGACGACGCGGCTTCTCATCGATGAGCAGCGGAGCCAGGAGGTGCAGTCGGGACACAAAGAGTAATACATATTTCAGGAGGAGATTCACCCCATTCGGGTCAATTAACATCGCCTGATTATGTGGCTAGACCAGTCCAAAGCTCTATGCTCTATTCCAGAAAAATCACACCTCCCCGATGTTCAACAAACATGGCATAGCACTCCCCTGGCATCCGTGGCATGTTGGCAGTCTCCTGGCACCGGTGTGTGGCGCAAACCGCGCACCTGGGCCACACAAACCATCACCAGGATCGCCACAAAGGCCTGGGAAGGCCAGGCAAGGCGGCAAGGCCCATTTCGGGCATCGAAGCTGAGCAGCTTCGAGACTTCGTTGGAAGTCCTTTGGCAGGAAATGGTGGCTGTCCTTTCTGTAGTTGACACTGTGGCGTTGGAAGTTGGTAGATCCCCCACAGGTTTGATTCAAAAACGCACCCTGAGTTGTTTTAGCTCTAGTCGTTTTACACTGCTACAGTATATGTAGTATTATGTAGTTATGTATATATGTATGTGTATCCATACACATCCTTTGTCGGTGAAGTTCCAGAGCAATCTTCTGTGTCAGCCATCGGTTGACTTCCACAGCCACTTAGCACTCAACCCTGGAGCACCGTGTTGCAAGCACTCCTCAACAAAACCAACCAAACCAACATTGGCTTGGAGCCCAACCTATAATATAAGTCCAATTGCATCCTCAGAAGCGAGTTGGACCTACTCAATATATCCCAAAACTTGTTCTTAAATGATATGTGATACGTGGCTTTACCATGTTGATCTCTGGAAAATGCTGGTGTGGGGCAAGCAGTGTCCAACAGTTCAAAGCGGCAAATGTATTGGCCTTGCAGCCGGCAGGCGTAACGACAGCAGGTCACCAGCACATCTTTCCAAGTGTGATGATCCGTTGGCGGCCTTAGAAATGTGGCGGCGGCATTGGATGAAGAATGAGCCCTGGACCAGCTGCAAGTCTCCTCCCCTATGCCTATAACTATTGAAAGCACTACAACAACACTAACAACACCGCAATAACAAAAAACAGCTACCAGTATGACCCACTTAGGGGGGCTTGGAAGGGAACACGTGTCACGTTTAAAGCTTCGAACATGGAGTGACATGCTGCTCAGGTGGTGAGAGGAAGTTCGCCTGTGGTGACTGCGGACACCAAAGCCAAGCATTGAAGCCGAACAGCCCAGTCCAGGAAATTCACATCCTTCACTTCAGTGCTTCCCAAACCAAATCTCTTTGAATCCTGCGGAACTCTGCTGCTGGCTTCTTTTCTTTCGCACGCCGCTGGGAAGAGTGCGATGCACAACGTGCAGGGATCGCATGGCCCGAGTTCGCATTGCCCGAGTTCTCCAACGGTGCAGTTCCAGCAGGTAGTGTAGTTCTGGAAGAAAGGTGCCCGAATATGTAGTAAGTAGGGAACGGACCCCCGTTCCAACTATAATATATGGACTATTGATTGATGCACCTCAAAGAATTGGGGTGTGATATGGTGCGATTCAGTCTATAATGGAAAATGGGCAGGGAAAAGGAACGTTCAAACAACCAGGCGCTAGTGACATTGGCTGTCAATATCTCCATCTACTCAGGGATAAACAAAGAACTTAGCAACTGAGTTCACATGTTGTTGAACAAAAACCAGCAAGCTTCCCTGTCAAATCATATCTTGTGGGAATGAGCTACCTTTTGAAACTTGAAGCAATAATCCGTTGAGTTGCCACCTTAGGACTTGGTTGCTTAATCTACCTCTTATGTATATAATATATCTAGATTAATATATCACATCCTGATATAACAATCTGGAACAAATGAGAGCATGAGAAGCAAGGCTTCTGTCTTGCGAGTACCTCATCTAAGCCTGCACCGATGGACTGCGGGTCCGCACCAATACCAGCTGATTGCATGCCTGAACATGCCTGCAGAAAGCTAGGAAGGGCGAGCCTGCCAAGTTGCTGTTCTAAATCCAAGGTGCATGAATCTGCTTGCCTCACCCGATGCATCTTGTCTCTTGCTCTGTGAGCACATGCTGGTCATTTCTTCAGGGGGTATTGTAAGCACTTCTCTGCTTCCACCCGGATGTTGTTGGTTTGTCCATACCCGTCGGCTAGAAGGAAAAGCATTGTGCAATCCTTGTGGTGCCAAGCATTGCCGTCAATCGGGCCTCCGATCTTCCCATGCCTCCATCCTATCTTTCCCCTAAGATTGACACCTGGAACCGTCTGAAATGCAGGATCGGAATCGCACCACTCCCCCTTTCCAACCTGTTTCTTTCGACATCTCTTCATCACCAGCAAAGTCCTCACAGGGATCCCTCAGCCCTCTACTCCGGAAGGGTTTCAGAATAATTCGCACAAAGATCTCGTGTATAGGAAAAGCAGAAACTGAACAAGGACCAAACAGGTTAAACCGCAACACGAAGGGAATCAGTAGCAAAGTTGCGAAGGAGTTTTGTTGCCTATTTGTCATTGCAGAATTGCCACCACCTGCAAACCTTTTCTGGTCCTACGTCAAAACGCATGACATGGTCCTTCAGAAAGACTTGGAACGTTTTGATACCGAAATTGCCATCGCAAACCATGGGGTGGTGCTGATGCCTTTTTTTTTGAGTTTGGCAGGCCTTTTTTGCCTAGAAATTTGCAGGCATTCAATACAGCAATGACGTTTGTAAACTTTGGTGCTCCGTTATTGATTCTGCAACAACTGCCTCATGGTCCATGGTAGCCAAACAACGCTCCAAATTTGGATACATGTCGCAAAATCCCGACCAGAAGAAACAAAAACCCAGTCTGCCCTCAATGCAGTTCTTGTTGCTTAGCCAAAGCTAGTTCCGACCTAGGACCCAAACCGGACCCATTTCAGGCCTTGGGATCCCAACCCGCGAGAACACCTGCTCGCAGGAGGCATCACCCGCTGGTTCCGCGTCCATGATCCTCGCCAATTCGGCATGGCTCAAACATGGATGTTTTGAGTCTTCTTCCAGGCGTCCCCGTCGATCCGTTTCATCATGGCCTTCAGCTGCTTCATGGGACCACACCTGAACATGTAGACGATTCGCGATGAAGCAAGGGAGTTGAAACAATTTGATGCATCTGAGCATGGTGTGCTTCTAGATCGGAAGTAGGATAGAGTCGGATAGAGTAGGTGCGATATCTTGAATGCTATACCTGGAGTCAGGATCCAGAAGCACCTATTAGAGTGTCCAATGGATGTACGAAGAACAAGGTGTGTATCTTCTGGGCAGCATGCTGCGCCAAAAGTCCTGTGTCCAGTCAAAATCCTTGCCACAAGAAGTGCATCTTTTGCTATATGCTCAGCTCCGCGTATTCCAAAGCTGGTGTCGACTCTGGGAGCCTTTTTGTGTCCGGAGGCCGCAGCTGAGCCAGGGAACTGCCCCAATTTGCTGACGTTGCCTTTCCTATAGTAGGCATCTCTGCACACGCGCAAAAATGAATCTTGGAGATTGGCCTAGTCCGACTTAACGTGATCTGACTTTGACGGAACTCGGCTCCCCTACCGGAATCGATGGCACACACCCATTGACCAAATCACTGTGGTTCAACTTTGAGATTTGGGAGTTCGGCAATGTTTGACATATTTGGGCCATAAAATGTGATAACCTCCGAGTTTACCAATTTTCACCACATGTCCATTATTTCTGTCTGTGTTTTTTCAGTTTTTTCGTCAATCCCTTTCAAACCCTTTGGCCATACTTCATGCGGAACAAGAGCGAAAACGACCGAACCGGTGTCGAAGAAGCCGCCAAGCGGCTCATAGAACTCGCTGATGCCTCAGTTGCCGATATTGGCATTCACAAGGCCAGTTTCCTCCAAAATAGTTATTTATTATAGTGGCTTCTTGCTATTGCTAGCAACGATGCACCTGTTATACACTAATAATTAGCGATGCCCTTGTTACTGGTAGATTCTTCCTACTATAGTTACTAGTTTCTAGTTCACAGAGTCTTAGACCTGCAATTCCAAGAAATCCTGAAAACAGGGTCCGCCTACTGTAAATCTGTTCAATGTAGTTGAGCAGTGCTGCAGTGCTATTGTTTTTTGGAGAAGGTCGCCCAATCAAACCCTGATTGCCAGAATCGATATGAATAGATACTACGACAACAGCAGCAACAACAAAAACAAACAACAACTGCGACTACTACCACTACGACTACACTGCACTTGGGAGATCTGCAGTGTGTGCTTATACATGTATCTGCATCGTTCAAAAGATCACACAGACCGAAAGCGGCTGCTCTAAGGACCAAAAGCGACGATCGTGTCCGATGGCCGTTTGGAACACGACAAGGCTGGTGTTCACCCACTTGAAAGTGTCCCTTCAGCCAGGCGGACCGTGACACCAAGGCGCCATCGTTCACCATGGCCTTCATCGCTGGCTCCCATAGAACGCAATTGGTGAGCTGATCCGCTAAGAGCTCAATGATCCGTGGCACCGAGGTGCCTGGAGAAAAAAAACCGGCCAAAACCAAACACCCTGACCCTAGGGATCCAAGTACCTTGTCAGAAGGTGATTGGAGACTGTTTATGTAGGTTTGGAGGGTCCAAGTACCTTCTGAGGACGTACGACTGGATCCCTAGGGTGAGGGAATGTTCGAAGGGCCCGGTAGGGCCGATGTCTGCGCTCTCGCCCAGAGCCCAAGGGTCTCCCCTCTGGCGGTCTGATGGTCCCTGGTGAAACCAACATCCGACTGACCCACTGGTGCTGCCGACCCACTGGTGCTCGGCCCAAGTCCGTTGATGTGAAGCCAGCCTTTCCACAGCCCTTGAGATGAAGCCTTTTGCAGGGTTGGAAGTCTCACCCTTTTGAGTTTGAGGAGCTAGTGGGCGTCGGCTTGCCTCACGCACACTCATGAGTATAAGTAAACGCCGGCCTCTAAATTTTACCAAACTTCTTCCTGCAATACTATAAAGAACATGACTGCCTGGCTACGAAGAAATACAATACAGTCTTTGGGGTTTCCTCCTCATTGACGACTTCAGTCGTCGGACTGGGATTTCTCCACATTCCTGGACCCGGATGGACCGGTGAATCTTGCTAGGACCTGAGTGCCCCATGAGAAGAATGGTCGGATCGATCCACCAACGAACATCATGGTCGGTCCGCCCCGAGTTCTCGCGACCTCCGCCCGGGTCCGGGGTCAAAGCTGGTTCCGGGCCTGGCGGAATCTTCTGCCCGGTGAGGTTGACCTTGGAAGGATGAGCATCGATCCCAAAGAGCCACAGGGTGCAAAAAGGTATGAGGAGATGAGCATAGATGGTGTATGGGCTTGAACTAAACACATGCTTTAGGGTCTTTAGAGTCTAGAGGAAAATCAACATCATTGACACCGAGCAATTCAAGTGCTTTGCTTTCTGGAAAGCCCTGGGGAAGAGTAAATGTGCTTAGGCTTAGGCCTCTGAAGGGACCAGGATACCCTGTAGGCACTCCACAGGAGAGTAACTCAAATCGTGGCTGAGACGTGTTTCCCCTAACAAAGATCAGCCCACCTGGGATGATGTCCTGAGGTCCGGGGGGAGAGTCTGGCGCACCCTTCGAGCGAGTCTTTGCACCTACGTGGAGATTGGTCAGCCCCCAATAGCTATGTCGCTATGCAAAGTCAGATTTGAACAGTCTCTACACTGATTTGATTCACTACCACTATCCACCATCAACGATCCTCTACAACAGGGAAGCCTTCAAGCTAAGCATGTCTGGGCCAGCCCGCGTAAACCTCGCAGTTGGGAGGTTTCATCTTGGACTCGGCATCCTCAGGTGCCAGGTTCCCTGCACCCAATAACCCGAACGTCATCCCATGTCGCTCCGTGCGAACCGGCCCTTTGAGCCACGATCTGTGCGGAGGTTTGTGCGTTTGGTCATTTGGTCTGTCAATCTTGGCACTTGCTTATGCCTAACCGGAAGGAAATGGCGAGAATGCAAGACTGAACTGGATCACACTGGGTCCTGTGAAATCCAGTGACTGCGGGTGACCCAAGTGTGGAGATAGCACAAAGTGACCGGTGCAATGGCACTGTTCGAAGTCATTGCTTCACATGGACATGAAGCCCTGGGCCGACCACGAGTTAACCTACTAGCGATGGCCTCCCACCTACTACCGATGGCCTCCGACCTAGTAGCGATTTTATGTCCTGCTGAAGCTCAAGGCATTCCAAGTTAAGAGAACCCTTGGGGGGCCGAGTGGACCTGTCAGGGTCGTGTCATTGCACCGCCCTGACAGGGTGTCACACGCACAAATACGCACACGCCCAGTCAAGTGCAAGTGCATGTATCACTGGTGGTTTTGCTGAGAACTCACTTCATTGGCTTACGTCCATGCACTCTGGCAAACTGGATCGGGATTTTTTTTCACACCGGTCAAGCCTACAGGAAGTCATGAGTCATTTCGTGTTGGCGCATCGGAGAAGTACATTAATTGATCTTCGGAAGCCCCTGGTGACCATTTGACTTTCCGATGGTCCGGAGTGATGAAGTTTTCAGACCCTCAGGTCAATCTTAGCAACGGCCAGGCCTCAAACCAGCTCTCAAAGACCTCAAGATCAACTTGGAGGGATGAATGCGCGAGCTCCCAATCCCAAAGAAACCCATCTCGGAATCCGGTCCTTCAGTGCAGTGAGCAGTTTACTTCTGGCAGGTGCCATGCACTTGGTATGGAAAGCGCCCGAGGTCCTTGGATCAGTGAGCTATGTCGCTGGAATGTGTACCCGGGGATGTGTCCTTGTACCGTTGCACAAGTCAGGTGAGATCTGATATCAATTCACATCACATTCACGCTCCATGGACTCCATGGTGTTTAGGCTTGAAAGATCAGGAGTTGAGGAAATGCATCAAAAGGCAAAGCCCGTTGACACAGCCTTGCTGACAGGTATAATCATAGAATAATCCAGAGTTTAGCAACTAATTTCACCCATGGGGTCAAAAAATAAGTTTGCATGTTCAAACACGGAAATCATTCATGCAGCTCTGTGACCAACAGCCAAGTGGCCAAATGTGCACTTACAAAATCCCCTGCTTTGCAAGTAAAGCCTACCAAAAGTTGTAGTTTATTTTCATGTTCCTAGGTGTGGAGTCTGCATTATCATTAAAATAGCACTGCCTTAACTTTGTATGCAAGTCTTTCGTTCGGACCCCTTTCGGATCTTCACTCCATCGCACGTACATTGAACTCGGTCGTCCAGAACAAAAAGTCAATTCTCTCCGCGGCTAGCCTGGATGCGATCCGCACCACTTTCCTCGGTCATCAGTTTCCTTGCTTGTGAACATCTTCCGCTCCCTCACCTGCTTCCCAACCGATCTGAATGTTTTTTTGGAGATTCCTGGACCACACCAGCCCACAGGGTGCAAGACTGCTGGAACTCCTGTCTCCCACCATGGGATGCCGCCCGCCGCCAAGCATCTTCAAGGCCTTTGCTTGTAAGCAGCCTTGGGTATCCCCGGCCTTCTTGAGCAATTTCTCACAGGCGCTTTCGCTCCCAGCGCCTCATCTCTTTAAGTCTGAAGGGGGGTGTGCATGCTTTGTCTTGTGTGGGCAAGAGGTGCTAAGAGAGAACTTTGGCGGCACGTTGCCTATTTTGCAGGCCTATATAGAATTGTCCACACAAAAGACAAATCATGCTTATAGCATCTTATAGCACTGAGTGCCATCCCGTGCTGTATAGGAGGCTTTGATGGAACATATGAAGGGCGGCAAGGGTTTGACTTGACAAACCCAAGTTCATTGCAGTCCCTCTGTTTCATTCCGTTTCAGCTCCAACATTTAATAGTTGATCAACCGAAATGGCAGTAGATGACTGTGGTTCACAGGGGCCTCTGATGGAGACTCTCATCGAAACCTACAATATATTCGGTTCTTGAACTCCGAAATCCGAAATTTGGCTTCCCCAAACGACACCAGCCACGATCCAGGACTTCGGGGCTCCCGATCCACGTGCCAAGGCGCAGGAGAAGCCGTTGGGGAACAGGAAGTTGGCGACCTCTCAGGCCATGGAGGCCATGACGACTTGAACGCCCGAACGGGCACGCGTGTCGAGTCCTCCGACAGATCTTCCAATGAAACAGGAAATCTCAATACGGGCCATTGAATCGACTACTTTTATGCTGAGCTGAATGAAGCTTTGCATTGGAAGTTGCAAACTAATAACTACTTATAATATATTCCTATTGTTGTTCATATTCATTATTTTGATCACACCCGGTGGATTCTTAACTTCCTCAACATAAGACTACTATCGGCTACTTCTGAACGGCGCCCTTCGGCCATCTTCCGCTGGCCTGGCAAACGTCGTCCGGGCCGGACCTGCGACCGGGCTCACCAAAGCCGCACTGAGAAATGAAGTCGAATGAGTCTAACGCAGCATGGGTTATCCCATGTTTCTATTTGTTGGTGGAAGTCCCTGTTTGGAGCCTTTAAATCCCAGACCTGTGGACGGTGTAACCACCATGGTGCCCTTGTCATGACAACATAGAGACAGGAAGGGCGTCTTTCTTAGCTTTTGCCATTGGACCGGTAGAAAGGTGGCACCCAATGATGTCTGACCTCGGAAGTCATAGAGGGGTCAGTGCCAGGTACAGTACCATTATATGATTCCTTTGGGTTGCACACACATCTCCCCATCCCATCTAGCAAGGCCCTCAAAGGCTGGTAGCCCCTGCTTTGGCGCACCTGCACTCACTGCAAAGCTGCTCCAGAACCTGCTGGCTGAGTCCAGCGACTGAAATCATCTTCTGCGGCGATGCCTGGACCGGCGACGGCGACGGCGACTACGATGAGGTTGATGCGAAACCATCTCGGGGCCCCAAGTCGTCGCACCATGTCAGCACCCCCTGTAGAAAAACCACCCTCTGACGAAGGGTGCTCATCAGCCCAACCCAAGGGAAAAACAAAAGAACAGCCGCGAATGGTCTTTTAAGCCATCGGTGTCATCTCAAAATCTTCGTGACAGCAAAATCTGCCTTGCACCATGAATCTGAGAGAATTTGCAAAATTGTTGAGCCAGGTTGTAGGCCCAAGCGGCAACACCCTGTCACCTCCAAACTCCGCGGTTGAAAAACGGCCCAAAAGCACCGCACCATGCTACCAGCACACGCTGGCAGGCACTTAGAAGGTCATCCAGCAACTCATCCCGTGCCTTTTCACTATTCGCAATTCAGTAACTCATTTGTAGCAATTATCACCCAACCGATCCATGTAAGTAAATATGACCTACATTCATCACCAAAAAACTACCGAATGACCAAATGTAGGCTTGCTTGTTTGGGACATTTAGTGTCATTCCGTTGGTGTGCCCAAAAAGAACCGGGCCAAACCCGAACCCGCCTCGGCAGCTTCCTGCATGGCTTCGCCCCGGAACTTCACCAAGCGCAGCCCGGTCTCGAAGTCCATGACGCCCGCCACGGTCCTCGGAACAGCCCTGAAGAACCAACGCTGAACGTATTTAGATCCCAACAAATGTCATGTATTTTTGTGGACGTTCCCGTTCCCGGGATGTTTTACATGTTTGACTCGACTGTTGGTGTGCTGTTGGAGCTAACTCTACAAACTGAAAATGTTTAAATAATATAAAACAATAACACAACATAAACCTGTTTGTTCCCGAAGGAGTTTCTGAGTAAGTGTGGATTCCTGGATGCCCCTATGCCGAGATTCGTGGGGATGTTTTCCTGAACATAAGGAAGGATTGGATTCCGCACACCCCTGATGGTGTTTTTGTTCCAAACATTCAAGGATTGTGATATATGATTATGATGATACTCTAAGTTCCCCAAGTAGAGACAAATCGTGGAGATCAGATTCGTCAAGCGTGAAGGACCACATGTGCCTGTTCAACCATATGTACCATGCGCCGACCGTCGACCGTGGACTCACCCTCTTCCCCGTGACTCGGCCGGCTCGGGTCGACGTCGAGTGGCAGTGCCGTGTACTCCCCCAAGGACAGACCCGCCACTGCTTGAAACTGCTCGGCCACTTTGGGGTTCTCCTGGCCGGCGTCATTGGCGAAGAGATCACCCCAGTAAATCCATTTAAGTTGTCCAGTCACCCTCTTGTCTTCGTTAGCCAAAGGGTATCGGGTATCAAGATGTATCAAGTATCAAGTGCTTAGTATTGGTGCAACTTGGGATGGTTCCGGCTTGTTGGGAACTGCACCAAAGTAAGGACTGGTGAGAAAAGGTCAAAGACCTCGGCAAACAGCCTACGTAGTCCTATATAAGTCGTCGTGCGAAACCCGCTGTCACTGAAGTGGCAACCCATCTGGCTCAGCCAGCCCTGTGTCCAATGCAAAGGACATGTTCATGTATTTTCCCTCCAGTAAAACAACAGAGTACACGCCATGGTCAGGATGTTTACTCAACGACCATGTCGACCATGACACTGACCATGACCACCATGTTCCACCTGGTGGGCGGTCCTCTCTACCGGAAAAGCTTCACACGAAAAAAGAAAAAAAAGGTCATCTGACCGCAGGTCTTGACCTCACACGGCTCCTTCTTGAGCAGCTCGAAGGCTGCCAAGCCGCCAATGTACATGGCTGGCTGACAGTGCTTGGTCCTAGCTCCGCCCCCCGGGGGCAGAACGGCGTCGAGACGTGGAGCGTCACCACCAGGGTCACCAAACAGGTGCATGTATAGAAGACCTAGAAGCGGTAAGCCACAGCCACGAGTTCAGAAGTTCAGAAGAACTCCACGCTGTGCCAGTTCTGTTGGAGCAAATGTTTGGTGGGCGTTATCTGATTCCCCCTTTACATGGAGAGCCCCATGTTGCACCCACCAATCCCAACCATTCGCATCAACATTGCCAAATCCACTCTGTGAGGCTTTTATCTATTGACCCCGGGTGTCCCAAAGGAAGTACTTCAGTACTTTCCGTCGCAAGAATCGATGTTGAAACCCTCGTCGTTCCAAGGTGCTGCTCCAAAGTCTCTTCTGGGCCCTCCAGGCACAGCTTCAAAATGTCATAGCCTTGGGGCACTTTGTTCGGCTGAAAAGCGGCCAAGTCCGGGACCAAGAACACCAGAACACCAATACGGACCAATGCGTGTCACCGCGCCGTGTCGACCAGTCGACCGCCGCCGTGATCGAATCCGCTCTCAGGTCTCGAAGCTCCTGTTGCGCTAAGGAGGGCGGCTTGGGAAAAAAACAATTCCATCATCTGCATGACACATGGTCAGCACCGCGCACAAGTGTTCTTCCACCAGCACGATCTATGTCAGGTGAATGAAGCTTGTGATAGCTTGTGCTATCTTTGAGAAGCAAGGGCAACTAGAACCCAAGGAGGCCAAGGAGGCCAGTTTCCCCGCAATAGGCAGGATGTGGTGAACGGTTAACAGGTCTTTTTTTGGGGGGGTCGCCGGGGTCGCCTTGAATGCGCACACGAGAAGAACGGGGCGAGGTGGGGGCTGCGGGGAATGCGCCGAGTTGAAAAGGAGAGGTCACCAAACCTGAAAACAAACATGCCAACAAAGGGTGAAGGACCCTACAGACTATCCGATGGGTACCCCAGTATCGTATAAGGTCACTTAACCTCTCTTGGTACCCATTCAACACCTATACCTCGTCTTTCATGGTCTTTCCACATTCATATAAGCGCTAAAAGAAAGCAATCTGGTCTTTGGGAATGGAGACACGAGATCGTGCCAAGATTGTTTGATGCCAAGTCACCTAAGATCGTGTGCGCAGTGCTTAGCATCTCCTGCACGCTTGGGAGGTCCTTCACCTCCGAGAGCATTTTCACCTACAGTAAGTGATTCGGATTGATTCGTGGAAAAGGAGTGTACCCACCCAAATATGGGAATTCTCAGAGTACACAAAGCATTGAATAACTACATGCCCTTGCCCTCATTGTTCCCATCGAAGGAGGCTGAATGTAAACTATAGATCATGGAGGGAGTTGTTGGACACAATGCCACAATGCATTTTGTTTGCACAATGCAAGTGTTTTGTTGATGTAGTTTTCCCCCGCTATTGTGAGCGTTGCCTTCGCCTTCGACTAGGAAGTTCTCATAATGGGCTGCCGTCCAGAAAACACAAATAGACTATATATATAATATAATATGGTACAGTAATGTACAGTATATGTATAAAATATAGCTTTAGTATATACTTATATACTAGATATATATACCCCACATGTATCAACAACACAGCCTGCAACGCTTCATGGTTGTCCGAGAAAAAAACGAAGAACATTCATCGAAGAGTCCCATGACTCCGCTTTCTCTCAGGGGCACTGTCAAAATGCCCAACCATCTTCTACAGTGTACATTGGCCCCAAAACAGAGAGAAACGATTCTTTAATACTTCTTGAAACGGATTGTGCTGTTCTATCTATTCGGGGGTCTAATTCGGATTCATCTTCTAAATGTGGATCCATAGGAATTAATCCATATAGATCCATATAGAATCCATAGGGATGATCGTCGTTTGCTTGCCAAGTCACATACTGAGAGCCCTGACCCGGAAACAGCAGCGCCGCGAGCGGCTGGGTGCTGCCGTTGGCACCCGCTGCCGGGGGGGGCTTCGAGCCTGTGGAAGTGGGTGGTATCTAGAAACCTTGTATTTTTGGTGATTATTCCAGCTGTCTCAGCATGTCTCATCTAATCATTTACCATGCTTCCTGGCTGCAAGCGTTTAGTTGCACATGTTTGCAGCTTCAAAATCATCGACCCTACCCTACATCATCAGTCGGCCCGCAGCTTTTCTCAACATACACACCTGCCCATGCCCATTAATGAGGCTTGTGGGATACTGACTCTGTGAGGTCACTACTTCTTGCACCAAGAATCTGTGGCTTCAGCGGCTTCGACAGGTCCTGCAAAGCAGCGGCCGCGGCCATCTTCACACCCTGGAAGTGTTGCAATGCCTTCCTCGGCCGGCGAAAAAAAATCAAAGCTCCTGTCGTATATGACACGCAAGTTTTCCGCGGGGCGTCGAAGACAATAATAGGGAGTGTCACAGGTGCGGCTTCCTCGAAGTGAACAACTCAAGTCTAATTGCTCGTTGAACCTGCTGGTGGACAAAAATTAAAAGTTACATCCTTCCGCAAAATTCTCTGAGTTCACCAGCCAGAATCAGTGGCAACTGCATTCCAAAATTGTCTGGGTTAAACTTGGCCAAGGCTGGTTTCATCTCCCAAGCTTGGCATTCCCAAGCGGAATTGCCATGAAATGCCCATCCTGAGACACGAAACATTCCACCTGGCCCAGTGGCTGTGCAGCTGAGGCCACGAAGGGGTCTGGATCGCTGAGGCACATCTCCACCTGGGGTCATTGGCAGCTGACTAGGTGACTAGGTGGTCATCGAGGTCAAGACCTCGATCCCGGTGGCATTGGCCCCCGACCGGGGGGGCGGTGGTGGCATCACAGGTGTTCACTCACCGAACCGGGGTGTGGCCCACACGTGGCTCACTTGTGTGTCGTCGTCTGGATCTATGCTTAGTCCTCTTGAGGTTGCGCTACACATCATGCGGGAATTCTCCCAAACTTGATTCATAGTATATATTTTATCTAAGCTATAGCTATCCAAGCTTACGGAACCTCCTTCTTGGAGCCCTGCCCCAAGAACTCCACCCCAGCTACAAAATCACCGAACAAGGATGTAGTGGCTCCCACCCAGCAAAGACCATCTAAAGTTGTATTGACAAATCCCCACACTCCAAACGTTTAAACATGTATTGGACACACTCTCTCTCTCTTTCTCTCTCTCTCTCTCGTTGTTTCTATTGGGGGTGGCCGCTGTTGCACACACCACGCGCGCCTCATCGTCAAAACATGCACCCCGCTCACCCATCTCTGTCAGCGCGTGGATCGCCGCCGCTCGGGTCTTGGCGTCCGCGTTGCCCGTCAAGCGGCAAACCTCGATCGTCGTCGGCGTCTGCTGGGATGAGGTGGTTGGCTGGCTGGCAGGTTGGTTGGTTGGTTGGTTTGAGTGGTTAGTTGGTTGGTTTGAGTGGTTGGTTGGTTGAGTGGTTGGTTGAGTGGTTGGTTAAAGGGGTATGCGACACTCAAGTGTGTCTTCGAGACCTCTGGGATCTCACTTTGGGGGGTTGCCTAGCAGCCATGCATCCGCGTCCTCACCCACGTCATGCCCTGTACCCCAACCAAATTTCAGCAGCCATGCATCCGCGCCTCTGACGCGTACATCTGCCCAAGCTCCCCGCAGCCTGCCACCGCCTTGACCGCAGCACAGCGCACCTGGGAAGACTTGTCGTTGAAGAGTTTGCCTGGGCTATTGTGCGAGCATGGTCAGTGCCGGAAGTTCGAGGTCCATGATGTTGAACATCTGCCAGAATGTTGATCCACCTTTGGAAGCTTAGTTAAATGATTCTTCACCTATGGATAATAAAGAAGCTACATGACTCCTTTTTCCATATTTTTCCAGATAGCTGCAGGCTATGACAGCCGTCGGTGGCATGTCCTTTAAACCTATGCGCCCGCTCTCTGGGGTCTATGCCGGTGTAATTCTATAGGAAGCTAGGTTGCATAAAGGGTCCAGAAAGGCCTCCGCTTCGTCGCCCATGGCAGCGATGCTGTCCACGGCACTGGCCTGCAAGCAGCTGCTTGGTGGGTGACCACCGACCGTCCTTTGGGGGGGAGGTGGGGGAAGAATCACGTCATTCTCAGAAGCCAATGCCTGTGGTGCAAAGCACAGTAAAACCGTAAAACCTACTATATATAGCTAGTTAATTAATCCAACGGCTATAGCTTAACAGTTAACATCCCTTGTGTTGACTGACCCAGCCGCACATTGAGGATGTTCTGGAACCTGTCTCCCACTCACGAGGATTTTTCCATGGTCTGTTTGGGCCTTCACCATGGGGCTTGGATCTCTCAGCAGTTCTGCGACTGCTGCCGCCTCAGGGCGTGCAAACTGGCCAAACCGGCCCACCACCCGAGGAAACAAACGGCAAGCGGTTGCTGTGGCCCCGTCCGCCGCGACTGAAAATGTGTAGGGTCGGGTCGATAGGCAACAGGAAATTGCACGCTTGCAGTTCGGTGAATGTCAATGGTACCAGCCCGTGAGGTATACTATGTATACAACTTATTTATACTTATTTACATCTTTGACCAACTGATTCATGATTATTCCATTATCCTCAGGACTCTGTGGCTCAAATGCCGAGTGGTGGTTTAAGCTAGTATAGAGCTTGGCCAATATGCAGTCTTGGGGACGGGGACGGGCTCGAGTGATGAGGGAGCAGGGTATGAGTATGTATGAATGCAACCCACCGTTTTGCCCATCTGACGGCAATGTGGACATAATTCATACATTCAGCCTGCTGAAGCATGGGGTGAAAACAGCCTCATTCAATGACCAATGTTGTATAATTAACGGTTGATTGAGAAAGTTCCCCTTTTTTGAGATGCATAAAAATACTTGACCATCCCTGGTAGGGGACTTTGTTGATCAGCATGGTTTCAATTCCTTTCTGACTTGAAGCCTGCAGCTGTTAATTTATTCTGCCATGTACTAAAATGGCAGCTCCCCTATGCCTACTGCAGAAAAAAATGTTTTCTCAGTTAAGAGTCCATTGTTGGCGCGCACACACACACACACACTGCAAGACCAGGTTTCACAGATCTCCCTCACACATCAACTGGATCCCACTGGCTGAGTCCCTGCTGGTAGACGTGTTTGATCTTATTCGTTCATTCATGTGTCATAGCTCTACTTGAACATCTTCCTGGATAGCCGTTGTTCTGGCAGGGGCCTGCGCCTTTCTTGTTGACTTTCCCCGTTCCTGCAGAAGAAGATTGGTCTCGGCAAGCACGAATGATCTCAGTTAGCACCCACAATCCAAGATGCGGTAGACGAGGACGAGGTGGAGTTCATGGTCCCCAAGGCACGGCAAGCGGCTGACACCACTGAAGGATTGGGATCCTTCCTCGGTGTGGCTGAAGGGCCGATGTCACAGCTCAGCCATCTGTTGTGTGGGGCCGATGTCACCTGCTAGCATTCTACAAGCTACACAAATCTACACAATGCAGTCTCACCACACGTGCACGTTTTTGCATCTCTTCACCACCAACAAAGCCTGAAGCTGCCTTCCCCTACAAACAAACACAGCTCTCCAACACACAGAAAAACACAAACCGCACCTACAATAAAAGATGCGCGTGGAACCCCGTCATATCCAACATTTTCCAACCCATTTTAGCCTTGCCTCCACATTGCGCACAACACGCCCTCAGAACGGAAGATTCCAAACCTCTGCTTTGTGCAGGAAACCGCAAACATGCAAAACTGACTGTTATATAAAGGCAAATTCACTTGCTTGGGGTAGTTCGCTTGCTCGCAATTTGCGTGCATGTTGGTGGTTTCAACCTCGGGCCGAAAACTAATCAAACATTGTTTGGGAACATCCTCTCCCTTCATCGATTAGCTTACCACCCAACTTCAAAGCATTTGGTTGTGGGCCAGCGGAATGAGGAGGTTATAAAGGTGGCATGAACAAATCACAAAGGAACTGGAGTCTTCAGCATCTAACAAAAACGCTCAGAACCCTCCTCTTCGTCATCTCCTTGACCCGGCCATACCCGGCCGAGGATCAATAGGTCAACAAATTGCGATTCCAGGCGATCAGTCTCCGCCCCGATCTGTGTGAGGGCATGGATGGCACAGGACTTCCTCGATAAAGGAGTGGCCATGGCACAGAACTGAAATGAATGCGTGTATATGTATCAGCTTCTCTTTTCATTCTCTCTCTGACTACATATATTATATATATATACTATTATATATATTGTTATGTATATATATTGCGAACGGATGGAAAGTGTGCCCTGGCCCCGTTCTAGCCCTTAGTTCAACATGAAGCACGCGCGCTAAAGCTCCTTTTTGCCTGATTGGGCACTTGAGCCAAAAGTATATGGCATGTACCTGTATAGCAACTATACTGGGACCTCATCCCTATTGACACCCCCCACATCCGTGCTTCGACGGGGAAGGGAGATGAGTGGATGTAAAAACCGGAGAACGAATCATGTTCTCAAAAGTGCATTGGAGGTCAACCAGTATGTCCTATTAAACTGAATTAGCAAACGATCTTGCATTCGCTTGAAAGTTGGATCAAACAGGTAATGGAGCTACAAACGGAAGACGTGCATCCACCCGTGGTATCATGCGATCACCAACGGTGTGGAACACAATCCTGTCTCACTCCCATGATGCCAAAACGGTCATCATGAATTACCCAAGATCCCTCAGTACTTGAAGTACCGGAAGTAGTATGTCGGCGTGACTCCAATGCTCAACCATTCGTGAGTTGTCGCATGTAGTCAGCTCCGACAAAGCCAATGTAGTCCTTGATGAGCTCAACTTTCCTTGGGTTTCCCCTTCGGATCTGCTCCTCAAAGAACTTCAATTTCTGCGCTTGAACATCGGATACCTCTATGCCATAGTAGCGGCATGCGACGAGGATCTCCTTTGTGACATTCTTCCGCTCTGATTTGATGGCGGGGCTAATGTCGATGAATTTGTATGGAGCGGCGCTTTCGTCATCTGGTTTCTGGTAGTAACTATACCGGCTCGCTCCAAAGGTCTTCCTGATCAAGCGTCTGATGAAATTTGAGATGAATGCCAGTTTCTCGATGATCTCTTCCTGGGTCTCAGATCTTCGAGCCTTTGGATCACTCATGTTACGCCGAGTGCTGCCGACCTCTCTGAGGTACTTGTGGCTAAGCCCACAGCGGATTGCAGTGATCATCATCGGGTGAATAACGTGGGCGTGGAATTCATAGATCTGCCACGCTTCTGTTGCATACGTGTCGTTGGTCCATTTGCTCACGCCTACGACCTCGGCTCTCTGAAGGCGTCTTGGAAACCCAGTATCCGGATCATTCAGTACTATTGGCCATCTATTGTATGGAGTATCATGCCGCTGTCCATCGTCGAACTTTCGCAGTACGTCTTCACGACTCTCAAAGCAATTGATGTCGAACGTTGCGTTGGCCAAACTCTTGATCAACTTCATCAACCTCAGATCAAATTGCTGAGTGACTGCAAAGTTGTGGTCGATGGGAATCGCAGCTTCTTGCGGTAATTCGTCAATCGCGAAGGGGAAAGGCTGTGGAAGTTCATTCCCGTATCCATCTTGAGGGACCTCCCGATATTCGGGTTCGCCTTCAGCTTCGTCCGGTCGTTCCTTCAAAATGATAGGAACTTCCTCGTCTTCCTCTCCTTCGGATTCCTCGACGTCAATGACTTCTTCGGCTGTCTTGCGTGCATTCTTGATGACTTCATCGATGTTTGCACCCGCAGCATAAGTTGCCTCACCGGAAGAACTGGCTGGAGCATCTCTCGGAGGTGATCGTTGATTGCGGTCCCTTGTCTCCTTGGGTACCACATGCGTGAGCTTCCCATTCGCGATCAAAACCGCTACGCAGTGCGGACATATCGTCAATCGCACATCGACTTCGCCAAGACAGTTAGGACACGGTCTTGAGTCATAGTCTTTCATTGCTCGGCGGTACACGATCTCCTCAAAGATTTCCTGCCACTCGGTGCTATCATACTCTGGATAGACACCGCTCTCCTCGATCATGCCCAACAGCTTTGAGATTTTGGCGTCGTCCTCGGAGTAGGTATCGTCCTGAACCTCAATCGCTAAACTCTCAAGCTTTTGATAGCGTGGAGTCATGATCGGGTTTCCGTATTTGGACTCCAGAACAAGGTAGCTTCCAGGGTCGGGTTCTCTATTGAGTAACCTGATCCATTCGATCTCCTCAGGCTGTCCGGGTTCCGCATTGTCGCACTGCAACCATGCCCCTTTAACCTCATCGAAGGGAACAACGTCCTCAACCAATAGAGATCCAATCGCTGAGATGAGAAGTCCGTACTCCTGCAGCTTCCACACCGGAATGTAGAGAACCACCGGGCGATCACTCAATGCGACCTTACGACCCAGCCAAGGTTTTCCCTTGTAGCCCTGTTCCCAGGCCCATGGCGGAAAACATGTGAAGTGGATAGAATCCCTTCCCGATGAACCGAGACCTCCTGGCACTAGCCCCCGTCGCATGATTGAAGTCAGCGCTCCAAGATTGGTAGCGTGAAATGCAGTCACCATGGATAGGGCCATGTCGTTGGTCATTCTCGATCCAATGTGGTCGATGTTGATGGTAACGTCATAACCTCCGCCGTCTGATGAGTGTGCTGAGGTTGCTCTTACGGCCACGGGAAAGCACCATCCATCGCTATGGTGTAGTCTCCCTTTGGAGATTCCCATGCCCTTGAGCTCGTCAATCCATTCCTTCTCCATCGGGTCATCAGGATCATTGAGTTCATCAGGGTGAACGCGGACCGCCAACATTTGGAACCTGATCCTCTTGGTTATGCGGAAACACTCATAGTTCTGGTCGAGGTACTTCTCCAAACGCGCCTTCTTGGTCACGATGTCTATATTGCCATAGTGATAACCGTCTTCCCAAACTGCGTTATCACCTAACAGGTCTTCCCATGACACCCATGCGCCTTCGTCGCATTTGATTGGTGTGAGTCTTCCTCCTGTCCTGAACTGGCGTCCAATTCGATGCCTCAACTTCGCTCCCAATCGACGACTCAGGGCCTGGCTCGCTTGGCTGTATTCTGGTACTCGACAGTCCGGAGTCGGATACTTGTGGTTGCCGTAGTCGGAGTTCTGTGCAGCGAAAGTGACTCCGTTGATCGGTACTAGCTCAACTTTCCCGACCATTGTCATGGGGTCGATCGGCTTGTATCCCTTCTCCCTCCGTGTCGGTAGGGGATAGAATTGATGACAAGCCCTTGGTTTGAGGGAACTGGAGTGCACAAATGCCTTCTCTACAAATTCGTATACCACCCTCATATCCCTAGGGCCTACTTCCGCAAGCTTCCGCCCATTGTAGGAATGTGTCCCTCCTTCGACTCCATCGGCACTTTCAATCAATGTGAATCCGTCATGGTCGAACATTGTCACGACTCTTGCTTTCAACATTTCTTTTCGTCTGAACTCGCTGTCGACCTTCCTATCTGGAGTAGGCGATGCTCTCTGCTTCTTCTTCTTAGGCTCCTCGGTTGGATGTCCGGATGGTACATCGTCGGGTGCAACCTCTCCCTTCGCTCTCTTCTTCCAATCACTCAACACTGAGGTGACTGTGGGTGAAGATGAAGGGATCTTCTCGCAATTGAGAGTCGTGTGTCCCGACTTCATGCAGTGGATGCAGAACTCTGCTTGCCCGATCTTCTTCTCGAATTCGTCGATGGCTTGCAGTATTGATGTCTTCGGATCGGACATGTCAACGTCTTGCTCCTCCTTCTCCTGTTCACCTTCAGTCTCCATATCGACACCTTCGGCCTCGGGCTGGTCAGTGGCTTCTGCTCCCTGTTCTGGTTCTTTCCCAATTTCGAAGAAGTGGTCGATGTCGAATTCAGGAGGCGGCATGGTCCTCATGCGAACGAGAATCAGTGCCACGTTTGCCGCCTCATCAGAGTGCGGGTCCAATGTCCTGATCATCGATCGTTTTCGGTTCTCATACGTTGTCCTGTCGTACAGTGATGCAGTGACGCGCTTGATGGATTCCTCTAATCCCGTCCTCAAAGCCTCAATGTCACCCCATCCCAAGAACAGGTGTTTGAAGAGTTGAGCAATTTCTAACATGCCCAGCAGCGCTTCCACCATATCACCTACCCGTTCCTCCGTGGGATCATCTCCGAACATCGTGCGGAATATATCGGGCTCCAATATGGTCTTGAGGTATTTGGTGTAGCACACGTTTCCAAGGTCATAGGATCCTTGGTAGTACTTGGCGCTGCCGATTATCTGCTTCTCCACATGGATACTGGGCCCTCTTCTCGTTTTGAAGAAGTTCTCCGTCATTGTCGATGATAACCTGATCCCCCCCGAAGAACGAGATCTCCTTCTGGAAACCTGGGTTCCCGTTAAAGATGATCATCGCTTCGTGTAAGAACTTCATCATGTCTACGTGCGGGTTCATCTCGGAGATCATGACGGTGGGAGAAGATACCGTTTGCCCCATGCCGAAGTTGTGAAGCAATCGAGCACATGCATGAAATCGCTTCTGGACGTAGTCTTCTGCGGACATCCCACGGCATCTATTTGCTGCTCCGTTGATGCATTCTGCATAGCAATCGTCTTTCAAATCGGAGTCTATGGGATTGCAGACCAAATAGTAATCGCAGCAAATCTCCTCACCCTCCTTGAAGTCATCAATGACGTACCATCTCTGAGTCCTCGAGTATATTGGTTCTGGCTGAAGGACTCCCCAGTACTCATCCATCCATGGCATCTTATTCTCTCTCCTTACCTTCTCCCTCTTCCTCCGCTCAGACTCGTTCTCACCTGAAGCTCCCGCAGTGGACTGATATGCATGGCTTCCTCTTACGGAGTCTCCGAACAAGTACTGATACAACCTCTCTTTGTCCTGCAACACGTGTTCCAAGTTGGGATCATGGAGGTTATTCGCTTCGGTCAAGGGATCCGGTGCCATAAAACAAGAAGCGAGCATCTTCTCTCTGAACAAATACTTTTCCATGACAGCGTGGACCAAAGAGGTTCCAGACTTCATAGAGTAGGGGTGACCGCCTCCGGCGACCGAAATGGCTCACCAGAATCTGTCCGACGTCGTGGACATCATGCCATTCAGCGACAGCTC